TGTATAACACTTTCCCATTTGTCACTATGTCTTACCTGAAGCTTTGCATGGCCGGAAAATAATTTGCAAACAGACAATCATAAAGACCATTAAACAGTAAAAAACTGCCCTTATTCCCCCAAAAAACTTATCATTGGTCTTTATAGTGAAGTATTAACACCTATTAACAGTTTTGAGCTGAACACGATCAAAATATATACATGAATTTATCAGCATATGACTAAAAATCTGGTTGATTTAAACGGTGGAGGACCCATCAAAGCTGTAAGTTACCAAGCCAACGGAAGTTGTGACGAACAATTAATATTTTTTGTATGTCTAGAGAATCTTCAGTCGATAAGGCATTTTACTTTTGAATTAGAAAGACTAGATTCATGTAGATTTATGGTCTAAAATGCCAAATATAATGCCAAATACCTCTTTCCGCCGTAACTTCCCTCATTGCATAGAATGGTATGCCTGTGCTGACTACGATGACACAGGACCAATTACGGCGCTTGCTCGTCGCTTGACGTTCGAGCGTCTCCTGCCGTCGGTGCACGCGCGAAATCGATGAGATTTTGTAGTAAGATCAAGTTGGCTAAAACTCAGCAAATTAGCTGAAAATTGTAATAATGACACCACGGAAAGGAGCTTCATCGAAACAAGACAAACACAGCGACAGTGAATCCGAAATGATTTCATCGTCTAGGAAGGCAACCAGCGCTCGATCAAACATGGCGAGACCGTACGATAAAGGGAATGCGAACCTTTCGAGTCGTTTGACAGCTTTTGGCGGCCTCCTGCTCCTAGCATTTGTAACTCGTTATTATGGAATTGTCGAACCAGGTCATATATGGTAAGATGATTTAAATGACGTTAAATTTTCCTAAAAGTTTAGTAATGCATCTCAAAGAAAGAACTTAAGCCTAATTTTCCGGTCAATTTTGTTCTTGTTTCGATAATGCATAAAATCTCAGCCAGTCTCTCATGAAAACTTAATTGTGAGGTTGGCAGGCAAAAATTTGCTTGCAGACATGCAATAAACAAGAGGCAAATGCTATATTTTTTACAGTTGCACACGTTACTGCTCGTACAAATTAGCATGGTTGTGTAGCAACTGTAATTGACGCTGTTTTGAAAGCTTGTAAGCCCTTAATTGTAGTATTTGCATTTGAGCTGTCATTTGTGATGGTTAACGTCGTTGTTTTACCTGCAAAATGTTTTTATCAGTGGTTAAGTTTTTCTTTTTTTTTTTGATGGCTGTTTTTATTAGTAAACAGCTGAAAACACAAGGTGCCAAATTTACCAGCATTTATTTTCTTGCTTTATACTCAAGCTTTCAGAAGTTCAAGCTTAGTAGTCAGTAACAAAATCTTCAGCTTGTATTTTGTCACTATCGTGCAAACGTGTTTGTTATCCCTCAGATCCTTGGTGTCACTTTTTCCCCTCTGCCCAGAAGTAGCGTATAATTTTCTGGTATTTTTATGTTGAGAATTTTTTCATGCCTTCTAAAACTCACTGCCACCTGCATGTGCAGTGATGCCTTCAATTTAATGAGGCATGTAAATTATTGTAAAATAAAACCTGGATGGCATTTCAGACTGTTCTAGTACTATGCCTCATTCTTCCTTATAGTCAAAATAATTCTTTGGTCCTTTTCAGTATTTTGCTAGTTGTGTATCAAGAGAATGAAAAAATAACCTTGAACAAAATGTATTTATAGATAGTGTTTTATAATGTCTTTCTTTCTCATAAATGATGCATTATTAATTTTGTCAACTTTATAATGAAGTGACAGTATTGGAACCACAAGGAGCCTCATGAGATGTATCCACTTAACGTTTTGACGGCATTTTATAAAAGAACAATGGAATCATTGGGAAAATTGTTGTTCCAGTAATTTTTTTCCTTGTGGGTAACATGGTATATTAATATTTTTATGCCTTGGGTTCACCAAATATCTTATATTTTGGTCTGATGTTATAATGTATCGGCATCAGACTGCAGGCTATTTAGTTTGAAAGAGTAAGCATATTGGTACCCTCTCCCTTTTCCCCTACCCCCCCTTCCTGTTTGATTTCTAAGGCTATGAGTTTTGAGATTGACTATGCCTAATTCAAAAGGCTGCCATCTGCAGGGGAAGGATAAAGAGAGGGTGGAAAATCCATCCTCTTGCATATATCCATAATGCCCCTACCCCCCCCCCCCCCCCCTTGGGATAGCATCATACCCTCGTCCTGATGGGCATTTTGTCCTGTCCCAAGATTTGCTTACCTTATGAAGTCAATGTGGTAACCTTTGTCATGCCAATCTGTCCTGATGGTCTATCTTGGAAAAATAGAGAGCTGTAAACTGTTGACTGATATCAAAATCTGTTATAATTTCATATATTTTCAGCTGGGATGAGACACATTTTGGAAAGCATGCAAACTTCTATCTTAAAGGAGAGTTCTTTTTTGATGTTCACCCGCCATTAGCTAAGGTATGTTTCTGACTTTTAGTAATCATTTTATTCTTTTTACTATAAAAGACAAAAGCTACTGGTATTTTTAAGAAGGTACCCATCACCTTGAAATTTCTGTCTCATATACAAATCTAGGTGACAGCAGGTCACATTTTCAGCTGTTACAGATTCACCTCTTGTGCCACCACAATTTCAGCCAATCAGAACAGGGTAGGATTTCAAGCAATGGAAGATGATGCTAGCAAAGTATTGAGCAAAGTTTAAGAGTTTTAAGAACTCTCAATATAGAAGAGCAACAACTCTAAGATAAGATTAGGTGCAGCTGTAGTCATTTATGAGCTCAGCAATTTTCATGGGCAAAGAAGACTTGAAGGACGTTTACACAGTGTTAGTAGCTGTTCAGTACCTCATGGGCTCATGCATGGTTCATGGTCAATGATTAAGATACTTTTTCTCTATTGTAACAGATGTCGATAGCAATGGCAGGATATTTGAGTGGATACAATGGTTCATTTCCATTTGACAAACCTGGAGATCAGTATGGAGACAACCCCTATGTAGGAATGAGATTGGTAAGATATCTCATTTACCTTTGCCCCCACTCGATTAGTAGTTCTATTGACTGGGTAGTTAATAATTCAGATCCACTCATTAACATAGTTATCATCATCATCATCATCATCATCGTAGTCATCACTTATGGTATTACTTTTTAGGCATTTGTTTTAAGAAAAACTAAATAAAGTACACTGAGAAATAGTCATAATAATATCTTTTATGTTGAATTTTTATATTAATTTTTCTTTTTCACAGTGTGTAAAATTTGGTGTTTCATGTTAACTGACCAGGCCTTTAAAAACAACAACAAAAAAATCAAGACTTCTTTGAGGGAAATTGACCTTATACGATAGTTATGCTACCAAACTTTCAATAGAAAAATGAATATATATTGCGTGATGCACTAAACTACTGGCCACTTTGATATACTACTATTTAAGATGAGAACAATTTTCACAATATTGTTCGTTAGTTCTGTGCAACATTAGGAGCCTTGTGTGTGCCGCTGGCTTATCTTACTGTGTGGGAACTCACCAAGTCTACAGGGGCTGCTATTCTGGGCACAGCATTTATTGTGTTTGGTAAGTCAGATGTGACAGGTATTTTGTTTTTTCAATGTTAGCTGTTTCACTCATTCTATGAACTCACTGGTATGATTGTTTTAATTTTCATTTGTTCCTTATGTTTAGATCACGGGTGTATAACTATTTCACAGTACATTCTTCTGGACCCAATTTTAATGTTTTATATCATGCTTGCAACATACTGTTTTACCAAGTTTCAAACCTGCAAAACTAAGTAAGTGTTTATATGTTAATTTATTATGCTTTTCTGATTAGTTAAAATTCAGCAACTTGTACTTGGATTCTGGTCTTTGGTCCAGTCATTAGAGAATATATTGGACAAGTAGCTTACCCTGGATAGTTTCTTGCTAGTCTTAGTTTGAGTTTGATCGTCCCAGTGAACGTAGTCCTGAATAGGACTGTTGTTGACAGTGACTGACATTTCGACAACCTGTGCGGTAGTCATCTTCAGAGTCAGTTTCACCCGTACGATCGAACTCAACCTACTTTTGAAATGACTCCTGGGTTCAAACTTTTCACGGTCTTAGTTTATTACTTAGTTAGAAGATGACTTGTCCAGATCCTTGTCTTTTGTAGGGTGTCAAATTCCTTTTTTCTGCATTTTTTTCATTGTTTTGCATTGTGCAAGGAAACTTTCCCAGGGTGATTGTCATGGTAACAACAATACCAAATATCTGAACAACCCCCTCTCCACCCTTTCCCACTAACAACATACCCTCCTGACATGGAGTGTTGTGTTTTATGGCTTTCTTGTGTAGATGCAAATAATCAGATATCAGGTCTTTTACACAAAGAATTGCATTCTTGAATAGGGTTTGCTGTTCAGAATGTTTAGATGAGAGATACACAAAGAACATTTTCCTTTTTTTCCATTGGGATGAGATTTCATATTTGGTCCTATTTTTAGCTGCTTTCTTTCCTATTTCTTTTTCGTTTTTCTGACCTCAATCTTTCAATTTTTTTCCATATAATCAAGTGAGTATGAAAAGTTACTTGCCCAGTAGGGCTGACTGCTTAGTATTGATGATGAGACGGTTCTTTTTTCAAAGCCTTGTAAATCATAAATGTTTTTTTAATCTTCTTTTGTTTTTTGTCTGCTCTCCCCAGTCCTTACACCTTTGAATGGTGGCTTTGGATGACCGCATCAGGAGTCTCTTTGTCATGTGCCTTTAGGTAGGAGATGGTATAACTACACATAAGTAAAATTAACATGTACAAAATAACAAAAGCTTTCTAAAAAATTCTTTAAATAAAAACTTTTGCACAGACAAACTCTGCACCACCACCGATGAGACAGTCAAATTTATCGTTGTATTTAGAAAGCATGTTAAACCGCTGAAGAGGAAATGCAGGCATTGTGGCCTTTTGTTTGACTGTGGGTGGGGGAGGTGGGTGGGGTGATTTTGGCTGAGCACTGATGAATAATTTCATTACCATACGCATGGTGAAAATGAAAGTCAACAAAAGCTATAACCAGCTCTTTTTTTCATGGTGTTGGATTAAGATGTTTTAAGTCTTTCTTCTGGTTGTTTTTGCTTGGTTGTTGAGCTTAATCCTAAACACACTTAATCTTGGCATATTTTGACATATGGGATAAAATTGTTTGTGTTCATTCCCAGTGTGTTGATCTTTAATAACAGACATCCAAACCTTTATGTGCAAAGTCTATCTGGAGGTTTTTACTTGCATTATAGATCTATATGGCTTGCAACTTTTTGAGAATTATACTCAAACAATAAAACAGCTAAAACTGTTAGCCTCATGTGGCTAAAGACTATATACTCACTTGCTTGATTTACGCTTAAGTTACCATAGTTCCTTTTTTCCCATTGCACTTTTTTTTTCATCCGTTTAGCTGCAAGTGGGTTGGACTCTTTGTGATTCTCTGGGCTGGTATCACAACAGTGTTGAACTTGTGGGACCTGCTAGGAGATCTTACTTTATCACTTGTAAGTTCTGCTACTTTTGAATACATGTCACCATCATTCTAGTTAATATTATTAATTTTATTCCAGTCAAATTGTAATCATTTGATCCCTAACAGCATGCATGTTGAAGATAGCAGCTTACCTTTTCAAAGTTTCCATTTATTCAATTCTGCTGTAAAAAAATGATATGATTATACAAATTGTAGTGACACGTTATACAGACTCAGTTCTCAATACTTGATTCCTCAAGAATCAGTTACTCAGAATCAAGACTCGCACAACAGAAAACAAAAGATGTACACTTGTAAGCTTGTCTTGAGCTTGTATCGAGCAGGAATCAACAATTATTGCAAATGCAGCTTTTATAGCCACGTTTTCCAGGATTTTCACATTATTGTTGGGAGGGGCCCTCCTTGTGCAGTGTTTTCAAAATCAGCCGTCGGCTGTCGCATCCGACGGCAACTTTTTGATTTGCGACGCCTACTTTCCCTTCGGTAAATTATATGATAAATAAAACTTTTGATAAAAAGTGGTAAGTGTTCACAAAGCTGTTGCGAGCAAGCAAACTTGAAATTTTTCTGGAGAATTTCGCCAAACATCGCTTGAGTCTGCTTTTAAAATACGTTCTCTGCGTAATACGTTGAGTAAACGTTGAGGACGACTCGAAGACTGGGTCTCAGTTACAGGGAACATCCGGAACATTGTAGTTAGCGGTTTCTGAAGCCACTCTATATAAACCGCCACATTTCGTCTCCAAGAACACGGTAAAATGGCAGAAAAGCGACAGCGTGGTTTACGGGAGATATGGTCGCTGACAGTGACAAACAAGAAAAAGAAAAAGGATGCTGCAGGTAATAATGTAATGTTTTCCCGAAGATTACCCAAACAGATGCCGGTACGCAAACGGAAGGGGAAATAGTTCAAATTGAGGAGAAAGAACAAGAAGAAGTGGTAGCAAAAGTCTTCTGCCTAGATGAAGAGCATGGCAAATCGGACGACAGTGAAGCACATGACAGTGGATGGGAGGATGATGACGATGATAGTGAGGACTTTTCTGACTAAAAGTCTTTTTCTCAGAAGACAAAGAATCTCCATGTTTCGACTTGTAGATACTACCATATTTCTGCATATTTCACTTCAATTGAATGATGTAGTAGGACTGAACGGTGTTTGTGATCGATAAGTAATAAGGATATTCAAAATTGTAAATTTTGTTTGAGTTTAAAACAGTTCGTGTATAGCTTTAGTATGTTTTTGAGCCTTTTCCAGGCATCAAGAGAAGGCCCAGAAAAAATGCTTCTGTCTAGACTGGACAAACAGCTATCCAAGTACATGGGTCTACATGAACAAAGTATACACAAGTAGCTTTTGTTGGTTATTGAAAATTCAATTACCTTCGCTGTTTCTTAATCACTTTTACAGTTTTCAACCCAAATTATGTACTAATCTTTAATCTTTAATCTAATCTTTAATCATTATTTATACACGGTAAAAAAAAATCATCAGGTACAATAAATTCCTATACAATGACTAACATACTAAAGCCTTAAAATCCAAATCTTAACATTAAATATTAACTTACAACAATATGCCACATAAAAACCCTGATTGTGGTTAAAGCGTACCCTAATATTGTGGTTAAAGTTACTAAAAGCATCAAAATTTATCAGTATTTTCGATATCTAAAATTTGCTAGTTCTGCGTCTCAAAATGCGGGAAAATGCGTCTCCAAGAGTCTAGAAATTAAAAATTTCCTGGGGGGGCATGCCCCCAGACCCCCCTAGAGAGCAAGGCCCTCCGGGCCTTGCAACTCCTTCTCAAATAAACGCAACTCCTACTTCAAAAACTGTTGAAAACCCTGTTGTGATCAGTCATGGACACCCTGTGTTATTTCCTTTCTGAAACACTCACTGCCTCAAGGCAAATGGAAATCACAGATCAAATTTTGACATGGTCTGCTGAATTAATATTCAGAGTAAAGCTTTCCTTACGGCATATTTTATATAGTATGTTTTTCTTTTTTTTAGTTTGAGATTGGTAAACACTTTATGGCTCGAGTATTGTGTTTGATCATGGTACCAATCATTGTTTATCTCTTCTGGTTTGCCATTCACTTCAAGCTGCTACCAAACACGTAAGGAAAACATTGGATATGTCTTTTCTTTTTTCAACTACATGCACTCTATGTACTCTTAACTCAGTATTATTATTAATACTGATTCATTGTAAACAGTATTATTTAAGTAGTACTGAATGATAATTTGTATAAAATATTGTAAAATTAATTCAGCAGAATCTCTTGTTATGAACAAAGAAAAGCCAAGAAGGATACAATAAAATTTTGGTTTGATTTTTTTTTTTACAGTGGCCCAGGTGATGGATTTTTCAGCTCAGCATTCCAGTCAACTCTGAGAGGAAATCAGCTCTACAAAAGTGCAGTGCCTGCTGGTTTGTAGATAAAATTCAATGATACTGTTGTTAAAGTCCGTTTGAGTTTGATGAAAATAAAAGATAGAACTTATTTCATCTTTTTTGTCTTTTCAGACCTTGCTTTTGGTTCCATCGTGTCTATCAAGAATACACGGGCGGGAGGAGCTCTGTTACACTCTCACTCACATTTGTACCCCAAGGAGCACGGCCCAGAGCAGCAACAGGTGAGATCAGCTGACTTCGAACTTAATGACATTTTCCAAGCTGCAACTATTTTGGTTACCATGATGAACAAAAGAATATTAGTGACTTAAATATTTATTTATTGTATAGTATTTATAGTCACCAATTTGCCATACAGTAGTCCTGAAAAGTCGTGGAAATTATTGTCTTTTAAAATCGTGCCATGCCTTTCCTTCCAGGTTACATGTTACTCTCACAAGGATGACAACAACAAGTGGTTGATAAAGAAAGCTTATGAAGATTATGGTGAGTATTGGATAATGACTCTTAAGCAATTGGTGATATGCAGGCAATAAGTTGCAGAAATTATAAAAAGCCTAAATTAATTTGATTTAAATGACCTTTTCGCTGTTTAACAATGAACAACCCTGTCTGCAGATGAAAAGCAGCCTTTGGAATTTTTGAAGAATGGTGACTGGATTAGATTGGAACATGTTGCGTAAGTAAATGTGTTAGTGAAATGTTTGTGGATGGTACATGTAGAACTTTACGAACATGCTGCTAATGATAGTGACAATAAAAATGGAGAGGAGGAACAGCCTGATTACCAACTGCTCAAACACTTGGCTTTTCTTACAAGTTGGACAAACAACTTTTTTGGCTTACCTAACCGCCATTGTGTGTGCATGTTTTTGAAGGGGTACAATGTTGCTGCAGTGACTCTTGATGTAATGTTGAATTGTCCCTTTAGTTTCAAAAGTAAACTATTAGGCAACATACAATGTCTAGTAGCTAGTTTATCAGAAGTCTCTTGGAATGTTTTCCCCATGCTCTCTGAAAGTTACGGAATGTTAATTCTATGTTCATGTTAAAGCATTCAGTTTATTGAAAAAAAAAGCTATAAACAAATTCAAATGTAATTAACTTTGTTTTGTTTCAGTACAAAGAGAAATCTTCACAGTCATGCAGAAAAAGCACCTCTTACAACACACCACAACCAAGTGACAGGCTATGGAGATGTAAGGGGCTTTGAATGTGTGCATCATAATTGTAGATGAAGTTGTTATTTATACACATAATTAATTGCTGTAGCCTCAAAATAAGTTGAACCTTTATAAATCCTGCAGTGGGGATATGAATGAAGCTGTACATTGTGGAAATAATTTATATCGCTCTTGATCAAGACTAGAGACAAATTTTGCCTTGGAACTTGTAACGGAAAAAAATTCTCACTGTAAAAAAAACTTCTTCTTAAATGTCTTCTCAAAGGTCTCACCTACAGTTTTCTAATAATTCTTTTTTCGTGCGACAAATTAAAGACTTATTGATTTCAAATTAGTTATTTATTCAGATCAAAGCTCTATCCATGCTGGTCTCATAGCTCTTTTGCACTTACAGTCGCTCAATCAACAATATAAAATTGTATTATTGATCTCATAGAATGGGAAAGGTGATGGAAATGATTTTTGGAAAATCGAGATAGTGAGTGGTGCAGGTAATGATGGACGAGTTAAAACTGTAAAGACTGTCTTCAGACTCATTCATGTTTCCCTTGGCTGTGCCCTTCATGGTAGCACTCAAGTTTTACCTAAATGGTATGTGTTATTGTGTGTAATGTGACTGCAAATTCGCTGTAACTTAACAAAAAGAACTACTTAAAATCCCATTGTTTACTCCCTTCCTCAAAGAGACTTCTAAGTCAAGGTTAGTTTACACCCTACTACAATAAATTGTCAGCGTGTATAATTTGGACTTTAAGTCATGATAGCATTTAGTGAACACAAAAGCCAAGGTGATTTTTAAAAGACTTTAGACTTGCAAAAAAAGAAGAACCCCATTTGTTCAGTATGTTGTAACAAACAAACAGTTAACACACCTTGAGAGTAAAAAAAAGAAGAACCCATTCGTTCAGTATGTAACAAACAGCATTAAAGAAAGCACTTTTTTAGTTGGGTCTACTGAGTCTATATTTAAGCTCTGTGAAACTTTCAATTGAAAAATAATACTGTCACTTTGTCTTAGTCAAGGAGAGACCAAGGGTTATGGTTCTGTTATTTTGTACAGGGGATGGGAACAACTGGAAGTTACTTGTAATCCCATTGTACATCACAGTCACAACCTTTGGAATGTTGAAGGGCATGAGAATGATCGAGGTAAAAACCTTTTTAATATCTACCAAGTCTCTATGCTATAATTGCACAAAATATTTTCCAGGCAAGGTTGGTTCGAATCAGTTCTTATTTTTAATCAACTCCAGGTTGTTTTCGGTGTTTTATAATGCATAAACAAAAATTTCACTGTAAAAAAAAGGCTTTCAGAAAGAGATGCCAGCCACACTGCTAGAGAAAGGGGTCTGTGCCACACCGGTCTAAACTTGTTACTTGGATGAGGGGTAACCAGGAAGGTTTTGATACAAAAGGAGAGGACCTTACTTTACAATAGTATCTGACTAGTACTGGTACACTCCATATTATGTCAACTGAGTTTCACAATAAGTTCTCTTTTGATTTGTCGTTTAAAACTGTTATTTGAATGTCGTTTTCTCCTCTTTCGATTTAGTGCCAAAAGATGCTTCTGATTTTTATAAGCCTTCCTTCATTGGTAGCGTGTATGAATCGCACATTGTTATGGCCCAGGTATGTTATGTTTGTTCATTACAATAGAATGATGTCTTTAATCTTTTCCATGTAAAGTTATTCACCATGTAGGCTGTGCTGATTTAGGAGCAATTCATTTCAAATTTCAAACTTTTTTGGGGGGTGTTTTTACTTTCAGACCAACTCTGGATTTAAACCAAAAGAAGGAGAAGTCACTTCACAGCCCTGGCAATGGCCTATTAACTACAGGGTAATGATGGTATTTTTGTTATGTATAAGTTAGTTAAAAGCTTTAAATTAATAATGGTCATCATTCATTTGTTTATTGACTATTCCTTTAGCCTTTGATCATCTTTTAGTAATATTTTTTCTTTTTTTTGTTTTCACTCAGGGCCAAGTTTTCTCTGGGGCAGATTATCGTGTTTATCTTCTTGGTAACCCGGTATGTGCACTATAAGTTAAATTTATTAACGCTAGACATATGTGTCTTGCAAAACCTTGTTAATCTTGGGGTGGGCGGGGTGGGAGAGGAAAAGAGTAGGGCCACCTGAGTTATACTTTATTGACTGGAGTTAGGAACTGGATACGTACAGGTGACCAACTGCAAATACCGGTGTCCCGTTTTGTAGACTCTTGTTTCTTTCTTTCCTTTTTTTCTCTGATTCATTGTTCTATTAATGTGTAATGCGCAAATAAAGCAACGTGATTAACTAACCTACATGTAGTGTGAGTAAAATTGGCAATATTCTGATAGGTTTTGGGTGATAGACAATTGAAAGGTGCAGCAATGCTTACTCATGACATGATGTTTAATCATGATTGTATTCTAGTTTTTTTTTGCTAATGAGAATATTATTCATTCACAATGTCAGGTTATTTGGTGGTTTGTACTAGCTGTCATGTGTGTGTTTGGTTTGCTGTATGGTTTTCACGCCATCAGAACACAGAGAGGATTTATTGACCCACCACAAGAGCTGGGTAAATGATCTTTCATGACTGTTAAGTTATCTCTTAGTTTATTGGAAAAGGGCTGTGGTAAGCTGGCAACACTTGTGAATTTTGAAGTACACATTACTTTGAGCTGTCAATATAATTATGGAAAACTGAGGAATTTGTTTCCAGTATACATAATATTATTGATCACCTTATGCCCTGTTTTTATCGGTTTTTTATTCACTATGTTAACCAGATGATTCTAACTTAAACATTGCCACACCACAGAACTTCTCAAGTCCGTACACTCTAACGTTAGAATATTATTATTCGTCATGTTTGATCAATATAGCAAGAGAACATTTTGAAGTGAGAAACATTTTGAGCCTTGGGTGAAGGATTTATGAAGGTTGTAATATTCATGTGTTATTTTTTTCAGCTCGGAGAAAGAGGATGGAATCTGCATGTGGTTGGCTGTTCCTTGGCTGGGCTTTGCATTACTTTCCATTTTATGCCATGGGACGTGTTTTGTATTTTCACCACTACTTTCCAGCTTATCTCTACAGTGCTATGATGGCAGGTTAGTGTGTGGCCCCAAACATGTACAAAATCAGAGATGAATGCAGAAGTCACAAAAACCCCATGTGTTAGGTTAATTATTGATAAACTAGATTGTCATCATGCCAGGGCACTAAGTAAGAGATTGATTCCAATTTGGGCAAGACTCTGTGAAATAAAGGTCTGATTGATGTTGTATTTTTAAGGCTGTCCCTTAAATTTCAAGTTACTTTGTAATAATATGCACTTACTCTTATTTTGTGGGTTTTCAAAGGCTATAAGAGGATCTCTTGGTTCTAATTTCCTTCTGTGTCCCTTTAAAGTAGCCAGGGAGTCATGCTCATAATCGCCAGGGGAAATCCTCAGCCCGTGGGCCTTAATGAGAGCCCTGTGTTGTCTTGTATCGTTCTTTGATCAGTGCATATGGAGTGTCAAAATAGTAGTTACCTTCAATACAATCTACTTGTGTTAGAAGGACAAGGTGGAAGGGTAAGGTTGGGTAGATAACTGTACAAGGATTATTTTAGAAAGAAGGCATAAACCCTCCACTCTCATACACAACCAGAAGGCCTTAATTTTCTGGGGTGTGATACACTGTAAATTGTACCATTTCTTGTACCAGAAATACTCCTTGTTAGATATTACGTCTTTAGAGAGGGTGTCACACAATCAGGACAAGTCCGCTCTTTTTCTCCTAGGACAAGCAGCTCTCAAATTTTCCTTGCCCCAGCAACTCTTAATTAATTTTACTTTTTTAACAACAAACCACTTGCCTGGGCCCTTGATCCTCAGACAAGTGTTTGGCGGGAAATTCTACTTGTCCTGATCAATGACCGGACAGCAACTTTTTCGAGGCCTGACTGTTGGTCACTCACAAGACTTACTTGTGAACAAATTGAAATATTCAGCATTTAGTGACATCTTGTGCCTTACAGAACTCTTGGCAATTGTAAAAGGGAGTATTTTACTGTTGTTCAGTTATCTCTTTTGTTAACTTCCAGGCATTTTATGTCAGTATTTGTGTAAATCATTTTCCATGATTCCAAAATTGGACAAGTGGAAACAAGTGGCATACCATGGCACTATCTGCTTCATTCTTGCAGGATGTATTATTAGGTGAGAAACATTTTGTTTAATGTTCCTAGTGAATCCAAATATAATCTCCCAATAATACCAACCTTTTTCAGTCATTTTCCAAAGTTCTCTTTTCTGACTGTGTACCAGCCCTTAAGTCTTTTCTCGGCAAAGCACTTCTTTAATTGTGTTTTCTGTCATGTAACCAGCAGCTATGTGAATGTTTTTTCGTTTTTGGAGCAAAAGAAGGTCAGTTTACAGGATGGAAAAAAATCTAACTTCAACTTCACAGGATTGGCTCATCTGCAATTTTGTTGGATAGACCAATATGGATGAAACGTTTTGTTTTAATCCCTTACAAGTAGTCATCTTAAGACTGGCCAACTTACCCATTGACCTACTCCAACTGTACCTCTTTCAGAATTGTTGGCAGATTTATTGACAGTACGAATGCCTCCTTATTTTCTCTCATAGTTTTTGGACATTCCGTGGATTGACATATGGTATGTCAGGCCCTATGGCTCACTTACCAGAAGCTACTGCTGCAGTGTACAAGTGGATGGATAGCTGGGAGGTTTAATGTTAACAAATGGATCATTTAGTTAATCTCTCAGTACTGAGTCACATGGCATTGACAAAATCAAACAATTTTACGGGTATACTATTTAAAGTTACATGTAGAATCAGTGCCATAAACAAGAAACAAACCTTTACAGAGAACCGACATGGGTAAGATGTCACATCAGTAACAGTGATGGACAATTTTTTAGCTCGAAGGTTTAGAGACCCTTTAAACAGTCCAGGGATATCAACTCAACTAAGCCAATACATCCAAGGCTTTACCTTGAGGAAACTCTTGCATTCATGAAGTATCTATTACTGAGGAAAATGAGGTAGTAGATTTCAAAATTACAGGAAGTATTCCAGTTATTATCAGACTGAAGGAAAGTCAATAGTTGTTACAAATGTTTTGGTCACACTTTAACTGTTCAGTTTTATTTTATTTTTAGAGAATTCACAGTGCTATAGTTACAGGGAAGTGTTCAATGATATGTAACACTTGGTGTAAATTGTTGTTTGTCCAAAGTCTAATGAAATTTACAAAAAAATTGAGAAACAGCTAGTACTTGTCTTAACCTTGATATTTTAAACCTTTGTATTTAACACTATGGGATTGTACAAGTTTTGATGAAGAGAACAAAAGACTGAATGGGATGGGACAACATTTTTTTTCTATTTTGGTTAGTAGAAAGAGAAAAAAGTTGTTAGGTTTTGTATGTGTCTAAAAATGGGTGATTCCAGAAAATATCCATACCAGTTATACCACGGATGACTTCCATATTTTAACCCCCCTCCTCCCCTTGCCTTCGAAATTTCCAAATTGCACTATCCTCCCATACCCTCGGAATTTCATAATAAAATTTTTTCATCAAACCCTTCGGCATTACTTACTAAGTTTTCTCTTTGCCACTTTTCAACAGATGCAACCTACATTACCTTTAAATTGCCCCGAACTGGTACAGAACATTAAAGAGCTGCGATCTTAAATGGTGTCCTCGGTCAATAGACCATGGTTTGCAATGAATTGACAAAACAATTTTACGCTGTTTTTACAAGAGAAAAAAGGATATTTTTCTTGCATTAATGCCTCTGGAGCTTGATGTACAACCAACGTTTTGTTGGTTTTCTTATACAAATGAACCAAAAGTCATCACTGATCAATGGATAATCATGCTTTATTTGCAAACTGATAAGTCCATAAAATAAGCGTTTTCAAGGAATACACTTGTTCTGAATTCCAATCATAAGTAACCCCCTGCCTTCGGATTTTCAGTTCAAAGATCCCCCCCTTGCCCTCAGAATTCCAAAACGCCGTCTGTGGTATGGTATGGATATTTTCTGGAATCACCCAATTATAGCCTGCACAGGTCACAACAACCTCAGAATCAGGGGTATCTTACCCGCCCAAATAAACACTGTCATTGAAATTAGTGTTATAACAGAAGAAGTAAGACTAGAACTTGTTCTTACAGTAAGTCTACTTTGATGCACTTATCAAGAAGCCTTGAGGTTATGTGGAACTAATAAATTATATTCATGTCAACTAGCTTAGGTAGAGAATAATAAAAAAAATTAATATAATTTTTAAACAAATATGAATCTGTCCCTCCATAAAATGCTTTATTGCAGTCATGATTCAATCTCTTCTACTGAAAGGATTCCTTGTGGCTTGTAAGGGTAGGGTAATTTTCCCAGAGTGTTTGGCCTAATGTTGATGCCAAGTTCTGCAAGAATTCTGTCAATCTCCTTCATGTCTTCAGGGTGTACATGAATACAACCACGACTGTCAAATATAATAGCAAAGGAAAAAATAAACTGGGAAGTTCGATATCAGTTAAATCCAACTAGATATTTGGTTATGCATAAGAATCTTACAATGAATTACTTTGTAGGGAAGTTTTCTCTGTTGACCACAAACTACAAAAATGTTACCCTTTCTTTCCTCAGAGAGGCCACAGCAAAAGGTTCATAGGAATAGTTACACCTCGTGGTTTTGTCGATAGAGTAGATGGTTAAGCATTTCATTCTTGGCTTTGGCTTTATTTTGCTCTTTAAAAAGATTATTTTCAGTTTCAAGTTTATTCATCTGTGTTCAAAAATGTTTCACGATTTTAACATTTGAGTGATCGAAATTGAGTGGTACGCAGTAGCTTCAGCGATACTGAAGAGTGAGACATGGATATGCAGTCAATTTGCCCACAAAGACTACAGAATTCTCCTTTCCACAAAGAACGTCTAGTGCATGGATGCTACATGTACACTTGTATGACCCAGATTTCAATCAATTTGTTCAACAGACAGTAAGCCTTGAGGAATGTAGGGGTATTTTTTCTTGCCAAAGGGGTTCTTGTGTATGACAACGCCCAGTTGATTGACCAGGATGTCATCAATTTTGTATAAGTCCATTGGGTGCACATGAATGCAGCCATCACTGTTGAGCAAAATTATAGTGCATTATTTTAAGTGATTTTTCTATGTAAAAATGCTTCTGCAGATTGTGGAGATACCTCCCTCTCAACACACTCCATCCCATGGCAATATCCCAGTCCTAATCTTTCACAGCCCACTTGGAATGTATGCATTATGTAGAAATAATTATATGGTTGGTTTATAAACGAGATAGTTACAGCTGCTATAGAAAGAAACTTAATCATAAGTTTATTATCCAACAAGACTGCCCTCTACCGTACACACTTACAACAGGATGAAAGCAAGGCCTAAGGGCCACATGGCAATTATTAAATTGTATAAATAATGACAGAAGCACACCCTACAACTACAACAAAAAAACTTCATACAAATGCTGCGCTGCTGCACTTTGCAATAATCCTTCTGCTAATCGGAAAGACTTGACATTTCCGTGTATTTTCAGAGGATCCTTTTCAAAGGTTAGTTTTCCACTTTCCAACACACGTTCATTTGCTTAAATGCTCCAGGAATATCTTTAATCTCTAATCAGAGATCATTCTTGTTTTCGCCGCCCTATTTGCTTTTTTAGAAGTTTGTGCGAAATCTGGTGGGCCTTAGTCCTCGCTTTCATGCCTACGTCGTAAGTGTGTATTGTGACAAAATGTTGTGCAACTAATTTTTCATTCCTGCTGATTAATACTGACCTATTAGGCATAGGTAATGAGGAATTCCAGTTTTTCCATTCCCCTGTGTGCAGAAGAATGCCACTTCTGTAATCACTCAAAAATGTGTCATCTTTGTTTTTTCCAATTGCAGCATTGCCTGTGATATATATACAATATTAAAAAATTTCCAAAAATAGGGGCTGTTAGTAGACAATTGTTAGCCTTTGATGCTACCTGAGAAATTATGAAATTTGATTTGATCCTTGTAGATGATAGGTTTTGAGGAAAGCCTTTCAGCTGCTTAAAATAGCACCATCGGGGTTAGATTGCAGAGGGTTCATGAGAAGATTTCAGGCATACGTTTGACCTCAATATGCCATTACTATTACATGCAATTGTCACTTCTGCTCAATCAACACTGAAGAGTATTATCTCAAGCTTCCATCTACTCCTTTCTTCAGACAATTTTGCTTCAATAACATTTGTGTTTGTGAATACTACATTGTGTTGTTTCCGTAGATAAAACACTTTCTTTGTGTTGTCTCTCTTCATCCAGGCATGCTAAATGAGTAACCATAAATACACCACTGTAATCTGCTATTCATCAGCATCTTTTCCTGGTGGTGAGGGAGTGGGGGAGGCTGGGTGTCAACAGCCTGTGTACAGACCTCCCTCCGCTCAGTAAAAATTTCGTCTCTGATTCATACTGAGGGGATGGGGGGGTGGGGTCTGTACACGTGCTAGGTGTCAAGGGTAGGGATTCTTGATCCTGATTGCATTCTTGGTCCGGTATCATGATGATAATTTCAGCCTGGCCAGTGACATAAAATGACCTCAGCTATATCTTTTATCTGTAACAAAATTTTCTTACCTTTTAAACCCTTGACTGCCCTTATCACAGGATAGCTGTAAGAAAATAATATGCATAACATTTTCAAATCAAAAGCACTAAGAAACAAAGAGTTTCTGTTTCACAGTAGGCTTCTTCTGTTCAAAGTAAATAATGTTGTAGTTACTGTAAGCATAGATTTGGAGTTGAAAACAAGTGGTCATCACCAAATTCAGTTTATTTTCAATCAGTCAGGAATATGCTAGACAAAGGACAACTTAATGTGGATGACTGATCTACCTTCAAAATCACTTAATTTAAATCTTTTATTTGATTTTTATTTAAAAAAGTACTTACGGTCCAAATTTCTCAGGATCTGGTTCTGGACTGTTCAGGTCAAATGTCTAAAAATAATAATGTTATTAAGAAATAACTGTAGGGTTAAAATAATTACCTCTCAGCATGTGTGTTGTGCTACACAGTCACTATGAAGACTGAAATACATTATAAAAAATACACATGTATTGGCAACATAACATACCACTAATCCTGTTGGAGTATTGCCATTTCTTGTGAGCTGATTGATTGTTTTACCAGTAGAATCCAGGCTTCCATGACAACGTGCTAGAAATCTATACCTCACCTGGATAATGCAATATCAATATTATTATTGATAATTCAATAATTGTCAGTGATAATTTAATGATTGTCAGTAATAATTCAATGATTGTTAGTGAAAGATTTTGGGGTAGGGTGCAGGGGCCTGTCAGCAAAGTTTTTATTTTTTTTTACCCTTTAAAACTAAAACAGAATGATTGAATGCAAGATTTATCTGATAGTTTATAAAAGAACAAAGAAACCAGAAAAACACTACCTTAACCAAAGAGTATAATACTTAATCAAGCATTCAAATTAACTAGATAACCTGTGTGCAGAAAGGAATGCTCAAAGTAAATAAAGGACCCCCTTATTAAAAATGCCTGGGTCTGCCTCTGATTATGTACTAGTGATGAGTTTGAATGTCTTACCTCATTTTTGTCATCAAACAGAGTAGCTGTTGTTTCTATTGTGCGATCTTTATACACAGGTACATGAACCTTCAAATGAAATTCGTTACATCCCATGATCAGATTACCTGACAAATACTACTTCATAAGGCAAGCCAGGGTGAACCATTCATCAAAAACATGCAAATCATACATGAAATTACCTTAAATTTATAACCGGATGGTACAGTGCCATCATCTCGATAACCGTCATAAATCAGTTGCCGTAAAACCAAGGAGGCTGTTTGCTCATCAAATATTCCAGGAATGCTATAGTGGAAGAAATAATTTAAGAAGTAGATAGAAGATAAACCAGTTAATAAATCACTGGATTTTGTCTTCGTAAATTCGAAGAGAAGGGATAGTATAGAAAAATTTTATTCAGTACAAATTTTACTTGGTGGCAAAACCACTGGGAGCTACTAGGGGAATGGAAGTAGGTCAAACAGTGGGAGAATAAGGAGGAAAGGGAAGTTAACTCAAATCAGACCTTGCACTTGCATGCAGGCTTTGCTAAGAGAAATTCCTTTATGGGGAAGTTTTCTCCTGCTTTGTAAATTCCTGACATCTACTCAGGTTCCCAACCTCCCCTTTACATAACATATTGTTACTCGGGGGGGTGGGGGAAGGGGTACTCCCTTATAAGGGCTTAATGGGGACGTGCAGCCAGCCAGGGTATGTTTTTCAGGATTTTTGTCTTGAACAGGTTATTGATTTTATCATTTTTTGTCGCAATCAGGGGATCAATTTTATCAATTTTTGTCTTAAACAGGGTATCTTTTCTTGGACGATAAACAGCCTGCGTGTATGTTCTACAAACTAAACTACAGCAAAATTTTTACAAGATCCTCGTGACTCTGTTGATCAAGCTGTAAATAGTTTTGTGATTGCCAATGGATTAAATAAGAAGGAGTTTCGATATGTATTATTGTCTTACACAGGGTATGGTTTCGGGTTAAATGTCTTAAACAGGGTATCAAAAATAGGAATTCTGTCTTGGGTCGGAAAATCAGCGATTTTTGTCTTAAACGGGGTCAGGGTATGAGGGGCTGAGCCGCACCTCCCCACCCAAGGATTTATCGAGTACCCCCCCCCCTCCCCGGGTTGTTACTGTACCTTGGTAGATGATTCCCGTTTTGGTAACTGGCTACAGCATGTGCTGTGTTGTTGTCATAAATGCCAGTTGTGTCAATAGGTTTTACAAATGGAGACCTCAACAGCAGATTTTGTAGAATCACAACATCTTTTCCTGCAAACAATATGTTTCACACACATAATTCAAATTGAACAGACATGTGAACAGAAAGGATGATCAGTTGGTCTAAATAATTGATTTTTGTGACAATGCATTTACAAACTATTCTCGTTCCCATCTCCCATTGCCACTGTACCTGAGTACCACTGCCTCCTCACTCCACGCGTGGACTTTATGTTTCCCAAACGGGAAGTGTTCATAGATGGGTACAGAGTACGCCTTTCACGCAAGTTTATGCGATTAGAGGCCTTTCAAAGAGAAATTACCACCATTTACCAACGGTCATGGTAATGGCTGACTGCCGGGAAGAATTTTTGTTCCTAACAGTAGTTTATTAGAAATGGGACCCAAGAGGGCAGCGCTTAACACTTCGTTCCCCGCTTGATTGTGCCGACCATACACTTTTGCTTGTAAATTTCTCCATTTCACAGAAAATTCGCCCGGAAGGCATGATTATGCCTATTAATTTTAGTGACTACTTTAAAGTTCGAAAATGAGATAGTTCGTACTTGAATCAAACTTCTAACTGACCGCAGTAAGCTTACCTTCCAAAGGCGGATCCTGCATCGATAAAACTCTGTAAAACGGGGCTGGAAAACCACCAACTTGCATAGGCATCGAGGCTACACCGTAGAGAAAAAGCAAAATAAACGCTGTACGGTCAGGCATGGTTGTTGTATTCAATGATGCTGCAATTAGAGTTTTCCGTTGTCAAAGTAATGAAATATTGAAAAGGACGGAAACTGCGCAATCCTTACATGTACATGTGTAAATCACCTTACATCAAAATCATTGTTTGTGTTCTGGAACAGCTCTGTTACAGACCTGAAACGAGCAAGTTATGTCACGCAACTGAATCACGCTTCAATGCGCTGTAAAGCTAAACGAAACCTTCGTCCCTATCGTAACATGTTTGGCGACTATTTTTGTTTTTACTTCCTCACGCATTTCTAACTAGTGGAAAGTAGGGTTTATCTACAGAACACAGGGCAAATTTTCTAGGTATATTCGTTGGGGCGGCTCGGTAGTCCCGACTGTGTCTGTCTCTTTTTAAGACCTTAATATGGCCCTGTATTCTGGAGTTGTTCCCATTTTTATGCATTTGATCAATACTATGAAACAATATCATAAAAAAAAAAACAACAACTCAAAACTTGATTCTGCAAAACGAAAACTTGATCTTGATTCTTTGAAACTGAAACAAAACTAGATTATGTGAAACTCAAACTTTATGAAAACTGAAACAAAACCAGATTATGTGAAACTCAAACTTTATTGTTGGAGAAAGTAATAGCGGAGCTTACGCAAGCATCGATGCGAGGAATTTTGGATGTGACGTCAGCCTACCCCCACTCGCCCAAACAGAATTTAAGGGAGGGAGGGGGCGACTGTGCAAAGGAGAGGAAAGCAGCTTGTGTTTGTCTTGGCAAGAAGTGTTGGCCAGTTTAAAGGCAGCCTACTCATGTAAAAATCAGGAAAAAATATTTTTTCACTATTTTTGCCTGCCATTCAACTAACTGTGCTTAGTATAAAAAATTCTAAAACTCAGAGCAAAATTTGAGACAAAAAGCAATATGTTCTCACAATCGCTCAAACTTCACCAGAATTGTGAATCGAAGTGTCAGGTTGTGTAACAGAAAAGTTACCCTGGTCCCAGAGGTTTTGCTAGGGTACAGACTAAATGTTTTCACCAGAGCAAATGGAAAACAAAACTGGTATCTATCTGTAAGCTTGGAACAGGTTATAAACAAAACCACGCAGCAAATAAGTATGTAAATCTTAAGTCACTCTTCTCATGACTTCATCGCTCACTTTTTTCTCACTTTGAGAGCTCTCCTTGTGCCTTCAGCGCTCTCACTTGCTTGACTTTTGGCAAGTCTAGTTAATTTGCATTTAATTTTCTTCACACAATGCATAAATAATAACAGTATCAGGGTTATTTCTTCTCTTTATTGTCGTTGCTAAAGGATCAATGAATTAGAATGCAGACAAGTACCTCCATGTGTGACCCCTTTTCTAGTCTCCACAGTTGCTCAGGCCGGAGTCATGCAATGCTTCCAGCACACAATTCTGGAGGCATTGCCTGACTCTCACCCGAGCGGCTGCAAAGTAGACTACCTTATTCTTATCGGCAACCACCCACACAAGTTAACCATAGGAACTGTGCTGACGCACAGTATCAGCATGACTCAACAAAGGTTGCCATTTTAGATCTGGATTGAAAGTTTACTGTACAAAACTCTAGTTTAGAAGCTAGGCTCTTTAAAAGAGAACGATTTACAGTGTTGTTCAAGAAAATGTCTTTATAAATTAATTCTAGCTTTCCAACAAAGAGTGAAAATCAGCTGACTTTATGCTCTACAAGATGTGTTCCAGGATTCCTTGTCTGATTAAATGTTCGCAGTGGGACCTCGGCAGGAAATGCTGAAAAAAGAGAGTTAACCATGGCATAAGCAGGGTCCTCAAAACTAAACAGGGATCAAAGATGACATGAACTACTAAACTACAATGTTCTTACTCCCAGTTTTCACTTTGACATGATAATTACGTCAAATGAAAACAAAAGAATTAGACACCATTTTCATTAGCTAGAACTTTTTATTCTTCTTATTCTCTACATTTATTATCGTACAATCAATAACTATAGGTGATTTAAATAAGTTGAAACCTTTAGGTCAATCAATGAATTATAGGCAAAGTATTAAACACTTCTTACCTCTGGTCATAGAAAGATACAAAATAGGGCAAGAATTGGAAAAAAGGAGAAACTAAAAATGAACTTTTTCAGGTAAGAAAAAATTGATCCAACTTCTTTCAATTTTACTTCCGTCAATGAGTAATCTGAAAGAATTCTTTGTATGTAATGTGGTCATATGTTTCTGGGAAAAGACGGTCCCTTTGCCACTTTGTTGCTTAGAGCTCATCAAGAACAAGAATTACGTATAAGCAGGTGAGATATATTGTTCTACCAATCACTTGCAGGGATGGTTAATGGCTAAGAACTTCACAGAGGTGTATAAACCCTAGAAGGTCACGTAGCACCAGTTATTATTATTACTTATTATCATTATCATTATTATTATTATTATTATTTGTAGGATGGGACCCTTTACAGCCACCCACCTGACTATTCTTTTTCAGTAATATGACAGTTCCATCTTCTGTTTCAAATTCCCCGTAGTCTTCCAGACATCGTACCTTTTAAATGTTCAGCACAAGACAGTATAATATTATTGCATGAGGTAACGACCTCCGTTCTTAACTTCAACGACTGGCACATCTTTGAACTACTACTGCAACACATGAGCCATGAATCGATTTAATGTCAAACAAGTGTCTAATGACATATCACAGCACTGCAGAAAGGCAGCATAAATAATATTGAAGGCAAACATCTTTATACATACTGTGTAAACACTTTCTAACGGCTGCCATTCAGCATACACACTACGGACCTTAAGCAAGAATGACAATGACGGCAGTGAAAATATCACAAAAAAATGAATTTGTGTCCTCTCAAACTTTATCGCATCTATTTGGAACCGCTCAATTCGTCAAATGTAGGCAGCTCTTCCTGGCGTTGAATTCTCAATGGGCTTTATCCATGTTCAAATACACACGGGAAAAGTGTTCATGGTATGTCTGTGTCCTCCATAAAAAGTTGCATTAGGAGGTTGCACGTCATAGTCGTGTGTGGATGTCAAAGAAATCTGCTAAAAAGTGTGATGCATATGTGCAGAGCAGTTGTTTTGCTCATAAAACCAATATATTATTGTTTTTTGACGTTGTTGTTGTCGTCATTGTCGTTGCTTAAGGTCCCTACTTTCACACTGTGGACAGGAGTAAATTAATAATGAAGTGTAGGGGTAACTTCGAAACTTCCTTCTCAGCCTTATTTGACATAATTTGTTTCCAGTTAATTTTTCAGCTTTGTTTGTTGTTTTCTAAATCAATATCGAAATGACCAATCAATAATAATAAAGAGCGGTGAATAAGTTCTATCCATGCAATGAAAGTCAACCCTGTCAGGTGACAACAAATGATTGCACCCAAAGGGCAAAATATTTGCAAAGAAATCAATAAAATGCTGTGAATTGGTAAGCCATAATATTATATCCAGATGCTTACACAATGATTTTTTTAAACATACCTCTATGTAAAGTGATTTAGGGGGCTTCATATCCTGTAAAAATGATTTTGATAAATTCAAGTGTTTGTTAACAAGCAGTAATCAAATTACTAAAGGTTCCAACAACTGTTTCAAAGTCACTATGTTAGTGATACATTGAAGCATAGCCTGCGTAGCAAGCACTGATTTTTCTAGGGTGAAAAGGAGAAATATTGAGGACGAATGTGCGCATGAAAATTTATTCAATGAAACCTTTTTTGCAGCAATTTACATAGTTCTATATTTGACCTGGCAGGAAGCTTCTAGATGCATTTATGGACTGCACAGGAAAAAAGACTCTTTTTTAACACTCCACAGCCTTTAACTAGACATGCCATGATTATTGTAATTACCTGCGTGAGATCCAGACCAACAGTTCTCATGTACGTTGCAAGGGATTTATTGTATTTTGTAAACCACTGAATCTGTATATCAATACAAAAAGAAACACACGTTAATAATAACATTAGAAAACAATTCTAACAAAACACCCTCTATTTATTCACATGGGTAGAAATGTTGTTTGTTAATGCAAAGAGTGGCCGCAAAGAGTTAAGTATGATCTGTCCCAACGGAGTCGATCTTTGACTAAGTCCATGAGCATGCAAAGAACCTTAAACTCTACTAGATGTTTCAAAAAATCACACTTCATTGGTGTATAACACACCAACCAAGAATCTTGTACAAAACAGTTAAAACCATATTATTTTTCACTTCTTTTACCTCTTGTTCACATAAATTATACTTGATTTCCTCGGGTAAAACAGTTCCAAACTCCCACCGCAGATTCTTTATCCTCAGCATCCTGTTATAGCTGTCAGAGTTCATTCAAAATAATTGAAACATAATATTATTACCAGAATTTAAGTAACCTGGTAAAAAAGGGACAACATGCAATGCCTGAGGTGAAAAACAAACCAGGAGAAATTTTCTCACTTCAAGACAGACATGCTGGAATATTTTTACCATTTTCATTAACACCTTTTAACAGCAAAAGCAGAAACAGGTGAGCATAGAAAGGAATATAGCACACTTTGTGTAATGACCTTTAAACAAAGACTAAAAAACCCTACAGACTGAAATATAAAATAAAACATGAACTTCCCATGTTCTCAACTCACATATAGGAGAGTAGGCATCTTTTGTTTCTCTCTAAGCTAGCATGCCTCAAATGAACCCCAGAAAACAAACCAGTTTCTCCTTCAACTGTCAGAGCTCTTAAAAATAAAACAATAATTTGACAGGTATGGTTGAGTTGGAAAAAAGTACAAACATTTTTGAGTTGAAACTAGCAATCTGAGCCCATGGTGTTGCTACCTAAGGCCAAGTCCCTGTTCATCTCGTACATTTACCATTCAATAGTGTTTTTAATACTCGCTGTGGCCCCTGGAAAATTGGTGACAGGGACAGGGTAGGCATTTAGGTGCTTGCAAAATGCAGGTGACCTAAGTCTTATAGGATAAGGGTACAAGTCCCAGTGGCCCTTCTCACCTGCACAGTCACGGAGTAACCCCCCCCCCCCAATACCCTGCTTGTATTCACTGGGTGCCAGAGGTTTTCTTTCCTTTTTCCTGATAGTTCAAAGCAAAACCGCAACAGCGAGGCACAAAGCCTCAAGAGCAATATTTTAAGAATGGATCTCTGGAGCTAGGGCACCCCTCGTACCGCCCACTCCCCCATGGGTTTTCCTTCAAATTTTAAAATTTAAAATTTAAAAATTACACAAAGCTAGTACAAAGCTAGTCACTGAACTTACACTTCCTTCTGGTTTTGTTCAAACAAAATCTTCATCTCCTCTAAGACCTGCCTGACTAGATCTTCCTTCAAATAACAATATAAAATGGCATGCTTAATATAATCAAGTCAGTAAACTTTATAAGCAATGTGCTGTTCCAGAAAATGGCCATACTCCCTACATGGAGGAATTTTGATTCCCTCCCCCCCCCCCTTCACACATGCCCCAATGCAAACTTTTTTGCCTCGTACTTTCCTTTAAACATTTTGTCATTTACGACCCCTCTCCCGCACAGGAATTTCCAATGACCCTCCGCTGGGGTGGGAGGTGGGAGGGTGGAGTATGGATATTTTTTCAGTTGGAGCCACACAATTATTGAGTAATAGTTCAAATTTTAATCCATTTAGATTGTGTATAGCAGCTGATGGGTGAATGGATATTAAATTACCTTTGAAAATAAATTAAAAGTTGAATTAAGAATAACATTAAATTGACCCACAACATTTCAAGCTCGCCGCTACAGCACAAATTCCCGCCAAAAATTTTTCATCAAGAGTCCAACAAAAATCTTACGTTATAAGGAGGTAAAGTGCCATCCATGGATCTTTTAAGCTCCTTTACAAGTTCAAGTGCCTTGTCACCAAACATTTTGTATGAGATATGCGTTAAATTCAGGAGTTGTACGAAGAACTTTAGAGAGAGAATTGCAAGTCTGAGAAATCCGCCATGTTGTTTCTGTTAGTTCCCAGTTTTTCAGCGGCCAACGTTCGTGACTTCTTACTTGAGGTACATCGTTGGAGAGGGTACTGGAGTGTGGAAGAAGTGTTGAAGTCGATCGCGTGGAAGGGCGGAAGCGTGGATTGCGGCAAAATGTCTGAAGGCATAAAGCAAAGAATTCGTGCTTCTAAAAGGACGTCAGCTGATCATCCTAATGAGTTAAAAGAATCAAGAGATCGAAGTAAAAGTAAACAGCAAAAAAGGTGCGTTTAAAAAATGTGGTTGGAACAGGTGTGTTCATCAGCTGCTCGCATAGGGCAACGTCCATTGCCGGTCCTGCTGGTAGAACTTTGTCAACTTTAGGCCTACCTGTTTCATGTAACAATTTTGTTTGTTCTACATAGGAGCTTTTTGTCATCACTGCTGTTTGGAATTTTTTCATTCATTTGGTGAGTGTCATGATCAATATTATTGTTTACGTAGAGTAGAGTTGTTTATTCAGAACCCCTTGCAGCTAAGAGCTGGATAACAGGATCGTGCGCAAATTACACATAATTAACATTTATCTTATGACAAAAAATCTAAATATTTCACAGATACAAATTCTGACAATCTTTTTGTCTGGTCCTTGGTTTGACTAGAAGGGGCTGGGTGAGAAATCAAAAAAGAGAACTGGGTTCCAGCATCTTTTCAAAAAAACCATCTGGACAAAGTAAAAAGAGATAGTGAGGGAAAGATAAAAAAATCAAAACAAACAACAACAACAAAGGGCGAGACCCCCCCCAGTCCATAAGCATTACCCCCTGAGACTTCCTGAGTAGTTTCCTAAGGGACAAAAGGAAAAAAGGACCAAAGAAAATCCCTTTCCATTAAATTCCCTACTTACTAATTGAATATATGACAAGCAGAGCACCTTCTGTTCATGTGCATGTGACGGTTGGCTTTATTGAAATCTGAGCATCAGGGTCTTTTGTACCCAACCACCACCCCCCCCCACTCCTCCCCCCCATCAAATTAGCGAAAATCTGCAAACATTACTAAAGGTCTATGCTCAGATTTCAATAACAACAAAGGCCACATGAACAGAGGGTGGTCTGTCTATGTATATACTCCTAAAAAACCACCTGACTTCCTATTCCTCACCTCTGTTTTTTCCATCTCTACATACTTAAAGCCCAGAGCAGACTAGACTGTGTAGGGGTGGGTAGCCATTGGTGGTATTTTTCCACAAGGAGGTTACCTTTTGATTGCTCCAAATGCCATAAACATCTGCCGATAAAGTGCACCTTTTTGCACAAAACAAATTTTTGTTGGAGTCCTCTTAATACAGGTTTAACTGTACTTATATATATTTTGCAGGTTGTTGGTGAAGGTTGTGTTTACCGCAATCTCAATGCTTTATCTTGTATGTGTGATGTTAATGTATTCCTCACCAGCACTTAGAGAGCATATTATATACCTAAATTCATGTAAGTCACTCAGTGTATAACATTATTTATATATGTTATAATATTTTAGTTAGAGTACACCCAGCCATTGTTAATATCATTGGGTATCCCATATTTTATTTTAGGATTATCATTAGGAACCCTGCGATTATTATTAGGGTTAATGACTTGGGTTTTTGGGAATTCTTTGGTTTGTATTTTAAAAGGCTAAAGTCATGATTGTATTATTATGGGAATATGCTGACTCCTTGGACGGCAAAGTTGATCTTTCCAGTTCTCTCTTTTTGTGTTTTGACTTTCTTGTGCAATTGTAGGTAGAACTGAAGGTGTTACAGTAACTCAGAGTTACAGATCCTTTGGTGAGAATTACAGTCAAGGCAGGTCGAGCATACCCCCCAAGATTCTATTAATGAATTGATTATTTGAAAAATGATACGTCGGTCGTCCCCGTAACTAGTGTCAAATTCAAATCGATCGGCATTCCTGCATGTGTCATGAGCAGTGAACATTTTACAAGAACTTGTCTGTATTTGGTCACATTGAAAATCTTAGAATGGACAACATTGCTTTGAAGACATTTACATCAAATTCAGGGCAAATAAGTTGGTGGAAATTTTATAACTGCCTCGTGTGCATGAATTCACAGCTCATTACACATGTGAGAATGCAGAGATGAATTTGAAATTTACAACTACACGTCTACCAACCAATTCAACTTTTGAATAATAAATATTGATTCATGGAATCTTGGGGGGTACGCTTGACCTGGCTGGACTGTAACCACTCTGAGTCCAAGTGAACCTTATACAGAGTTGCACTGGCAATTTTGATCAATAAATTATTAAAAGGTAACATCTCAGCAGTATTTTTTTTAATCCCTATTCAGTGAGAAATCCATTTGAAAATTTGTCAGATCCTGTTTCGTTTGGTTTACCTGTGAATACTGTCAATTTTTATATTACTGGCTCTGCTGGTAAACTTGGAGCATGGTAAGTTGTGTCTTTTGTTTCATTGTTTGCCTGAATTTGTGTGGGACTTTAATTTGTAATGCTCAAGGATCATGTTATGTCATCAAGCTTTGTCGACATAAACATGCAAAATCATTAAAATTACTATCACCAAGCCCCATTGAAATCACCTGTAGCAATTTATCAGAGGCTTATTCTCCTGTAATTTTCCTTCAGGGATATTCCTGCTGAACCTGTTTCTAAGATACAAGATTCTCAGCCTGAGATGCATTCCCACCTAAAGGATGGGAAAACAATAATTCTTTATCTTCATGGTAATGCATACACAAGGTACGTAGGTTGTCAATATTTTTTTCAGTGATCAATAAAGTTGAAGCTATTCACTTGATTATTTTATATTTTGTTGTTAATTTATATATTGTCAATAGTTTGATAAATAAAAATAAAGTGTTGATCTTGCATCACATTTCATTTGAACAGTCACTCAATCCCCGTGGCAAAGTGTTGACAGGTGATTTAAAAATGCCCTGTCAGCATTGCTGTTGTGTTTTTAACTTATGTTTTGTCCCTTTTTTTGTATGTTAAAAAAATATTTCCATCCAACATTGTAACGTAGATCTACAGGTTCCGACTAAGAGACACAGAATTATCAAGTAGTGCATTATCATTGTTCTCTGTTGGTTAGTTTGTTATTTGTTTTTGACAATTTTATATTCTGTTTTGATTTCTCTAGAGCAACAGGTCACAGAATAGGAATTTATAAGGTTTGTATATTCTACCAATAAAATTGCTTAAAAATTTTATCTGTATTTATTTATTGTTATGACATGCATGTATATTTACTGTAAAATTATGCTGAAAAACACATTTTTATGTTTCAGCGTTTGATTGGTTTGGGTTATCATGTTATAGCTATTGATTATAGAGGTGAGGCTTCTTTTCCAGTATTCCCCAAAACAGTAGTTTCTGGTAGCTACTTTTCAGTGATTTTCAATTTTTTAACCAGTTGGAGGTCTCTGCCAATCCATAACTGACCCTTCCCTGTATGTTGAAATTATTACTCTACTAATATTAATAAGATTAAATATTTTTTCTTAGCCATAAGGCATTATGTTTTAGGGCTAAGATAAAGGTACGCTCTGTCTGAAGTTACTTAAAAAGACAAACCAACCAACCTTTTGTTCATCAGAGTTTTTTTAAAAAAAGTTAGTAACTGTATAGCCTGCGAGAGCATCCGGTTTTTTCGGCTCAAGTTTCTTATTTCACCTGCCGAGAAAAACGGGCGGGTGAAACTAGAAACTTGAGCCAAAAAACTCGATGCGCTCGCAGGCCAGTAACTGTACCAGTAATTTTATATTTCAACCTCAAAATTAGAAACTTTTGTTTTGGCCAAAGTAAAATCTAGGGAGATGGCCTTCTTATGAAAATAATATTAGAATCAATTTGCTTACATATGGTATTAATTTATCATTGCTAGGATTTGGTGACTCTCAAGGGAAACCCTCTGAAAATGGTAATGAATTTTTAATCTGTTTTTTAACACCTACATTGCCAATATCTTTAAATTATCAAGAAACATAATTGACCTGTTCTACTTATTATAAAAATAGTGTTTTCCTAATTTGTGTTTTTTTTTTAAATTCATTTCAAACTACAGTGTTCTTATGTTTTACAGCCAACATTTATTGTAAGTGGTTTAGTGAAAACTGAATTTTTTTTGCATTGAACCAGTAATTCTAGGTCCCCATTTAACGGTACCCTGCTGTGGAATCTGAAATTTTATGTTTTTATTTGATACATATTTGGGTTGTGAAAATCATAAACTATTGTATAAAGGAAAAAAATTTACCTGTAATTTAATATATAGAAGAATCCATTGTGATCATGACCCTGTTGTTCTTTAATTACCTCATACAGGACTCATACAAGATGGCATCTCTGCTATGGCATGGATCAGATCACAGAGTCCTGATGCGTCGCTGTACATTTGGGGCCACTCCTTAGGCTCAGGGTGAATAAATACAGTTTGAATATATTGTTTTTAGCCTACGTTGCAAACAGCCTAAATCCTGGATGGGATATTGATATTGGGTTCTTTATCTTGGTCTCGAGTGACAAGTCCGGCTGCAAAAAGGCTAATTTCATTTAAAAGAAAAAAATTACAAGGAGTTGATATAAAGTGCTAATAACTGGCACCACTTTGGAAGACAATTGCCCGGCCTGGATTGCCTTTGATACTAATGCAACTGTGCCTGTTTTTGAATTATTTACTACTTTGCATTTCAGGGTAGCTGGTGGAGTTGCAAAGATACTGTGTGATGAAGGTCTGTATAAAAATGCTAACATAAAACCATTCTCTGCCCTTACCAGAGTATGATTGCAATCTTGTTTTCTTGTCATATCCTTATGGTCCATACAAGTTTAATAACTGGCTCTTATTACAAGCGACATATTCTAGTTCGAACACCAACATAAACGTTTAGTGTTACAGGTTTTACTGAATAACTGCTAAACGTTTTCTCTTTGTAAAGACTTAACAAAAATTTTCCCTAAAACAACGAATGTCTTTCCGTAAAACCCTGATAAATAAGTCCTACACTCTTTTTTTTATATAAGAATGTTGTTTTCCCGGCCCTGGGGCCCGTTTCTCGAAAGTCCCGGTGACTTTTCGGGCCCGAAATCAAATATTCAAATCGAAATATAAAGAATAAGAGGGCGGGTCCTGGCTAACAAACTACTCCATTTTGTTTAATTAACTAATAGTTTTATCATGTTAGATGCAAAACTATTAAAACCTCGATCTTTAATGTAAACGGAGACAGCTTACCGGGCCCGTTAATTATCGGGACTTCGAGAAACGGGCCCCAGGCTGAATATTCTTATTTTTCTGCCGATTTTAGGCTTAAAATATTCTTCTATTATTCTTTAATTATAGCTTATGACATTTCCGTTTTAGAATATATTGGGATAGCAAGTATATTTAGTGCAGGTTTTTCGCCTTGTTGGCACGTTTTGCCGTTCAGAGGATGGAATAAGTTGAAAACATATAATTGTATGGTATTTACAGTTTTTGAACACACAAAATTACATCCTTTTCAAAACCTCAGCCTGGGGTTTATTCTTAAAATATTCTTAAAATTTCGCAAATTTCAGCCTCGATATTCTTATAAAATATATTCTTATAGAAAAAAAGAGTGTACTGTGCAAAATTTCTCCAAAGAGGTTTCTTCTGAATAGTAACACCACAGTATTTCTTTCTCGGATTTAAAGAGTATGTCCCCGTATTGTAGAGTAGAGTGGAGTAGAGTAGAGTAAAAGGGTCGACTTAAAACTGGCAAAGCGCACTATAATAAATACCCTCTGGAAAGGGGGGCCCTGATCCCGCAATCCCGCGCCTTTCTCACGGGAATCCCGCATTCCGAACTTCTGTCATCGTTTTCTTTCCCAATCCCGACCAAATTTTGGCGAATCCCGATTTAAATGTTCGCAGTCAAATTCCGTATCCCGTGAACGTTTCCCGAATCCCGCCTTGTATTTTGCTCAAAACCCAGATCCCGGGAATACCCTTCCAGAACCTGAATAAATGCTTCCGCTCCTGCTGTACCTTCATATGCTGCAGTTTCTGTAATTCTTGCTAACAACTAACTTAAGCTGATACACACTGTATTACTTTCATTTTTCGTGATAGGAGCTCCTCCATCTGGGATCATTCTTGAAGCCCCTTTTAATAATGTATGGGAAGGAGCGGTCACACACCCCATAACAATAGTAAGTTGGGAAATCTCTTTTGCTTTCTCTTCTTCGTTCGCCAAAGATCCATGTATTTCGGTATCTGACGGCAGACGCGAGCCGGATCCGAAGAAGACTCAAGAAAAAGTCTAAAGAATTTTGTAAACTGCTTTCTATGGCGACAATGTTAACCAAGCTCAACTAATCCAAAGGAAACCCAAAGCCCTATATGACTTGACTAATGGTGGATTTCCACTGTAGCGTATTTTTAACGCGCATAGATAAAATAGAGGCAATGTATGAAACCCGCGCGCAAGCGTAAAATTTGACCGAGGTTCAACTTTCACATTTACGCGGCGACGTTCCACTCATCGCCTCTACTTTGTTTACGCGCGTAAAATTTACCTGTGTACGCACGTTAAAATTACGCGACAGTGGAAATGCACCTTAACACTTCTAGATTTTTCAATGCTCCTTGCTGGCCGCCTTGTGTGTCTGGTTTGATTCGCTCTAGGCTTTGCCAATCTCAGTTCAAAATTTCTTGTTTAAGAGCTTTTGATAAGCTTGTTTTCATGCTGTTATCGCTCATATCAGCTAACTCGAAAGCTAACACGACTTTCGATAGCTCATGTTTCCTTTGTACTTGCAGCCTTTTAGGTTTCTGCCGTACTTCAATGAGACCGTTCTGGATGAAGTTAAGGAAGTTTTCCGAACGGATAAGAGGTGACTTAATTTTACGACGATAATACAGGCGCGAGTAATCAAGAGTTTTGGATACTTCCTGAGCTGCTAAAAATTTTATTGAAGTTTTGGTATCTCAAACTGGACATTTCTGTCAAATGGAGAGCGCTAAAAATACCTCGGAGCCTTGGTCTTGATCCAAAATAAGGGGGAAGGGGAATCCCTCCCCCCCCACCCCCCCTAGAAGCGTCACTCCTTATTACAAGACTTTTGTAAGCATTGACTATAAATTTGCGGAGAGTTCAGTCGGGAATTACATTCCAACGGGGAAACACACGGAGTCTCTTTCTTGAAAGAGACTCTTGAAAAGTCGAAGAATTTTAAGTTTAAGTAACCTGCGATCACGCGCCAGTTTGGTGTTGCATACAAATTACATGTATTCCTGCGGGAAAGGCCGCATGTTACCCCAACTACGTACCCAAAACAGGGAGCTATTAAATTCGGTCAGATCACAGGTAATTCTGCAAAGCACCTGGGTTGCAACAGAACGCAGATTTTTGTAGGGTAGACTTGGAAATCACAATAATGGCCAATATCCAGCCGTGAGCAATTGAGTTTAATTAGCCACTACACTAAATATTGTTCATGGTAAGCTAAAGATAACTTAGAGTAACACAAAGCTCAATATTTCTCTTGTAAACCCTTTTATTCCAAAAAAGATCAAATCAATTTAAGAAATTTTCAACTTTCATTTAGCAAAATCCCAGAAAACAAATAGCATCTTGTGTGAATATCGCTGAGAAGTTTCTTTTGAATTTTAACAATATACTGATACGATATTACCCACGGACTCTTAGGATGAGAAATAAATAAATAATAAAGTATCAGTTGTTACATAGGACTGTTATTTTTTTCGGGTTTTCCGAAAATGGTGAAAAAAGGGACAGCATTTTTCCGCCAAAAATTTCTTCCCATAAAATTAGCAGGTGTACTTGTTGTTTGACTGTGGTTTGATTTCCGTTACTAATATTCCAGTAATTTGATCTTCAGGTTGACAGATGTGTACTGTCCAATTCTAATCTTGCACGACCGGGAAGATGAAATTATATCATTTGAACTGGGAAAAAGGGTAATTCGTAGATAAGGAGCTTTCTAACCAGGGATTTTATTGTCGCTTCTTACAATGGTAGCCAAAAGTACTTAGAACAGTTATGCAGTGTCCGTAATTATCTCTAATTAGAGTTTAACTTTGGAAAATCAGTGCTATCTTTTTTGAAACATTAGTGATGCCCGCATACAATACATAGTATTAAAACTTATTAAAAATGCTGGGTACAAGTATGAGGAGGGACTGGGCATAGCCAGCCGCCATATTGGTGTCCCAAAACAATAAAACGGCGGCCATGTTGGTGTCCCTAACCAGTCCACTGGGAGTTGAACTCTTTTCTTATGCGAACGCTTTCTTTTGTTCCAATAAACTTTGCATAGATGCTGGCCTCGTGAGTGAAAACACTCTATTAGTATTTTTTATATAAAGAATACTAATGAGGATGAAATTTTTAAACAAAGAATATAAATGAAGTAAAATAAAACCAGCCCCGCACTTCCCTGAGACTGAAATGAAATGCCGCCCCCATGCTTTTTAGTTTGACAGTGTTTTACCGGGGTTTAAAACACGAGCACGTGACGGATTTTAGCGGACTTGATCGGTTGTTGAGCTCATGAATTATTAATGAGTTAATAGTAAGGCGAAACAAGTTTTCCAAAACGTCAGGTTCTTTGTTGATACTGCCAAGGAGTACCTTTGCTGTCTTTAGGTGAAGTCCCTGTGAACCAGTCAAGGAACTCTTACAACACATTGAGAAACCACTCGCTAAAAGAAGTTTTTTTTTAAATTTCAGTTGTACGAAACTGCCAAGAAAACAAGACCAGCCGATGCTGGACCCATTAAATTTATTGAATTTAACGAAAATCTTGGGCACAAGTGGATTTATCTATCTGAGAGACTTCCAGAAATTTTAAGGTAGGTTTGAATTGAGTTTTAGCTCCAACTGTGTTTTATTATAGCGTCTGCGCAATGTTATGCAATCACGAAGAAGTCTGAGAAGTCTGCAAAAAATTTAGTGTTTCAATGGATTTAAACTCGGTACATGTGCGTTACCGGTAAGGTACTTTATCGACAGGGCTATAAAGTTACAGACATTGGGAATATGTCATTCATGGGCGTATTTGTTTCAATAAAAGGTTTGAATGAAAGTGATGAATTTGAAATAAATCACGTATGAACGGTTTGTGCGAATTTTGATTAAGAAGCGGTCAACGTAGTTGTGTGCGCATTTGAAGAAACAGGATTGTCATTTATATTGGTATTGCGATAGGGTTGGCATCATATCGGAATTTAGCCTTATTCTGAGAGACGTCCGAGGTCGATTTTTAGTGCGGCCGGTTCGCTTCGCTCCCTCCCAAGCTAGTCGGAATGAGAACAAATGTTGGAATAATCAGCTGATTAAGATCACACGAATTCGCAAGAAGTGTTTGTTAATTCCACTGTGAAATCTTTGTTTTTTATTCAGGGATTTTATCAAGTCAAAGTAATTCAAGCTGGTCTTACCTCTTGGCCACTAGGAATGAGTTTCAGTCTGCAAGTAAACGAGTTGTCGTACTTTCATACATGAAAAATGAACACCTGGAAGAATCTTCGCCGACGAATGCATCGCGGTTATCCTAAACCGCGACAGCGAGGTGAATTTACGCCCTTTCGAACTTCATCGCGATTGTCTCAACTCACTCAATAGGTCAAATATGGCACAATGTGCAAGTTCAGGAAGAGGATGTATCTGAGTCTCGGAATTCCAGTCATTAAACAAATTCTTTCAGTCATTAATTCTTCTTCATTTATGTCTTCGTCTGTATGTTAAACTACATGTAACCCTAACCCTAGCTACGTGGAATACTTACGCATTTAATGCAGAGAAGTAGTGACGTTTTTCGGTCTTTCTTTTTCTGTTTTCCCTCTTTATTTTCTTTGGGGTGGGGTGGGGGGAGGATGGGAAGGGTTGGGGGCGGAATCCAATTGCGAATTCAAGCCAAATGATCGAGAATCCGGTCAACCGAAGAAACGAAGAATCCAGAGTTTTTCTTTTTTCTATGCCAACTAGCCAACCAAATTTTTCATAAATTTCCTACAAATCTACGAAACGAGAGCTAGGCAAATTGTATGTGTCGGTATTCAGGTCACGTTGTTCGAGTATCGAAGTGCATGACTGGTAGGAGCTAGTGAAACGCCCAACACATGCTATAGGGACTACAGGGACTAGAAAAGAGAGTTTAAAGGCGGAAAAAGTAAATTGCGCGTATATATTTACTTTTTAAGCATTGTTTTCAAGACACCGTGGTAGTACTTACAGTTTAATGATTTAAATTTAGTTGTTTTATACCGTGTTGTGATGTTAAAGTTATGTAAGATCACGCGCACAACACAGGAGATATACACCGAATGCAAATATGGCGGATCTCTCGGTCGGCCCAGGTCTAGTTGCGCGAAAGCGAGGCTAGTGAGGCCTCTATAGTTTTGTTTTGACTGCGCGAAGAGCAAAAGAAAGTTTTTGCATAAGAAAAGAGTTCAACTCCCACAGGATTTATTGGGGACACCAACATGGCCGCCGTGTCATTGTTTAGGAACACCAATATGGCGGACGTGACGTCACGTGAAAACGCTCTTTGAACCTGACCCTTGCCATCAGGGAATCTCATCCTTAGTGTTCATGTAAGAGGGTTCGTATAAGAAACAGTGTAGCATTTCATACACTTGTCGTTTGAAACACTCTGTTTTCTTTGCACTTTACGCTAATGACACTTACGAATCGTTTGTATTCATACATGATTGATATCATGGGAGGATCAAAAACCGAACTTAAGGATTATTTTCACAGTTTTTAAACAAAAATGGCCCAGACAGCTGAATGCTAATTGCCTTAATTCTGAGTTAATTATCGACGTCGCTCCAGTCCTTTTATTAGTTTTGCTTCTTTTGGTTTGGTGTCTGAATATCTGCAGTGCGCAAGAGTTAACTTCATTATCTGGACTTGACTCGATGGAAACTGATGAATCACTACACTTCAGAGCAATGAGTTTTTCGAGATCATTGGTAAGTCTTAAAATGCTTTTACCCCTAAGAGTGGCCAAAACAAATTAAAAGCTGCAAATTTAAACCCAATTTTACTTCCCTTCCGTTCTGTGATACTGCTTTTGATATACTATACTATATACTAGCTACTCCTTGTTTTTGAGGATGAAACCAAAACTCCTAATTTCGCCCCCTCATCGAAAGCTTTACCATATTCTTATTTGATGGTAACATTTGTTTTCCTATTTTTCCATTCTTGTCAAAATGAAGTTGCTTTTTTGATTACAATTTTAAAAGTTGGTACCGAAAGCGCTTAGACCCTTGAGTGACACTGTCTTCTTTCACTTGCAAGATTTTCCTTATTTTCATTGGCAAACTTTGGTATGGAGCAGCAGTCGGTGAGTACTAAAAGTTTGACCTATGCTTATTTGATGTAGAAAAAAAGGGACATTTTCTGGGGTCATTCCTGCCCTGTAAAGGGTTCATGTTTGAATTAATCTGAATGATAGAAAAAGGAAACAGAAATTTAAGGATGTGCTAACTAGCTTTTAGCTCTGAACTTTAGATTCGTTTTTACTGCAGTTTATTCGTATGAGTACTAGTCATTTAGTCATTATAAATTTCCTGGCAGGATTTGATTGGCTATGAAAAGTTTCAGTGGAGCCGGTTTCTAGACCTTGGAGGTAAGGGTGGAAACTCATCGAGACATCGAGAATTTTAGGCTTGTGATTAGTACAAAACTAAGGGGCACTTCCTCCCTTCGGTTCCCCAAAAAAATCCGTACTGCGTTCGAGCATGCAAGTTAAGTAAAACAAGGTTCTTTTTCGCTGGATCTGTTTTACAACTTTATTAACTTTTTCTCTCATTCTCTCATTAAACTAGACATAGTAAACTGGGCAAATACCAGGGCAATGTACAGACTGTGTATTTTTCAATACTCTCTCTCTCTCCAAGCGCAATGTTTCCTTATTAAATGGCGATAATGGTAATTCATTGTTATACCCCGAAACTGTCATTATAAAGGGAAAAAATGAAAACATTTTGAACTTTTTAGATTGATTTTCGCTTCGAAAATATTCAGACAAGACTCTGTTTTCTTGGATTGAGTTCCTTTCTGCCGGTCTCTTCCGTCGGCGTCACAGACAACAGTTTAGTTATTGTTAAGCTCATTATCGTAATTCAAATAAAAGAAAAACAAAAATCAACCTGCTTTAATAATTCAAGCCAAAAATCTGCAGCTGCCCACAGCAGAAAAACACAGTGCTGATTAAATACGAAAACAGAAGCCACCGTGAACTGTGTTGGGGTGACAGATCCTTGGGTACTTGGCACTCTATAGTTACAATAATCTTGCGCATTTTCACTGGAATACCTCTTTATATTAGATGAACTTTTTTCGGATCCGTCCCCAGAGAAATCCATCGCTTTCTGTGGGAAGATCCAAATTGAGAGTTTTGAGTTCACTTCGCGCGCCGAGATCCGCCAAGTTTTTGTATGAGGAGCGGGAGGACGGGGGCGGCGGGCGGGAATTACGGATCCGAAAAAAATAACACCGGATCTCCGCTCTGCCCCAGTTCCAGCGAAATGTTATCGCGCTGAAAACTCCAATACTTAAAGATTTTCTATCTTTGTAAAGAACCCAGGGGATCATCTCGGATTTTCCCAAACAAACGCACTTAAAGAACGATTCTTTTTAAAAAATTCCTTTTCTTTTCCACTTCAGATTCGTATTTTTCTAAGGAAACGGAACTACAGATAACCTTACCTTCATATGTCTTTGCTTGTTTGTTTGTTTCTTCAGATCTATACTCATTTTATGACAGCGCGAATAATTACTGGGATTTTGACCGGTCAGATAATATAGTTGACAACGTAACCTCTAGGAAAAGCATACCCCAGGGTATAGTCTCAACGACACGATCTCCGGCTGGTACGGGACTATTTGTAAAGAAAGGAACTGAGATTTATCTAAATAAATATAATATGGCAGGAATCGAGAGTAGCGACATTTCGATTGCTTGTCTTGACCCAACAACATGTGAGGAAGGATTCACCATATCTGTGCTTATCAAGGTTACTGGAACTAAAGAAGCGCTCAAAAAGAATATCTTCTTATTTGGAAATCGTATTAGCGAAGAGCACAAAGGTTGGTCGGTTGGTGTTTTAGATAACAAGTTACAGATTGTCGTCGCTACCAATGAAGATGTTTGCTCCCTCATCGATGTAAATATCATGGCAAATATTTGGTTTCAACTAGCATTCAGTTGGAAGGACCCAAAATCTAACGGCCAGTTTAAGGTCTTTATTGACCACAAAAGTTTCCACAATTCAAGTGACGTTCAATGTAAGCATCTGCCATTATCTCGAAGTCTACAGCAAACGATCTCAATAGGTTCCACAACTGGATCGACTGACGCGGAATATGACAACCTGGCTGTATGGTACAAACAGCTCACTGCAGCAGATATCACAGCGCCCTGGATCCACATGAAAGGTGCGATCATTTCATGAATGACCCTGTCAACGAATTTTAATCCCCAGGCAAACGAATGCAACAACTCCTAGACACAGACACTTTGTTCACTAAGTAGATGTTAACAAATACTCAGTTTATAGGCTTTGTCTGTACTATGCCGGATAGCTTATCGTACCGACATGACTGATAAATACAGCGGCCTGACATGACAACCTTTTCAAAATGCCAAGGACAGTTGCACAGAAAGTTATCCGATATATGTTAGGTGACGATCCACTACCAAAATCGGCACGGTGCAGCTTTGCTCCGTTATAGAAATAGCGCCGAGACCACCGTTGTTATGTGTGAACAGATCTAGAAGTCCTATCCGGTATGATTTTCGTGCCGGAGCAAAAGCTATCCGGTCAGTGTGAACATGTGGCCAGAACTTGGTTCTACTTGTTTTTTGTTGGTGTGACCTCACCTTTGCTGCGCTATATACCTTCACCCTAACGGTAAGGAAGTAAAATGGATTATATTGATTTGAGTACTGATTTTTAACCTTTACCCTCACCCATTTTTACTCCACTCCTTCGTGCTTGCGTCAATTTCTTGCGCCTGGTTAGTAAGCGATGGTTATGCAGCCTCGAGAAACAATCACATTGTTGCTTTCCCAACAGTGGCCACTATACGGCACCGGGCGTATCTGGAGATAAGTCGGATGCCGTTGAAATTGGAGGAATGTCCCCATAGAGCTCAGTCTTTGTTGGTTTAATGATATTTCCAGTTATTGTTACACTTACTTTTAAAATTCAGATTTTAGTCTCCAACCCTTGGAAGCTCACTTGGATGTTGTACTTGTTGATCGACTTTGGCATAACAGCTATAAGAATCCCAAATCACCTTTTCTCGGACGTTTCGTTGAAGAGTTTACAATCGAGGTACGATTTTAACTTCAACCCTTTTGTTCTCAAAATTTCCCCTCTGATGCTTCATGCGGAAACTATGATACGGGCTACATTTCTTTACTTTCTATATACCTGGACAACAAGTTTTAAAGTCTTTAAACGAGGATATGGAAACGTCGACTGTATATCATTTAAAACTTTTTTGCATTACCGATAAACAGATCAGGCCATAATCTTACTAATCAAGATCAGCTCCAAGAGTTAAAATGTTTACAAATGTTGTTTCTTATTAGATGGACGTCTTGAAAAACGAAGTTGGTGGTGATATTTTGCAAGCCACTCTTTCTGGGTTCAGGTGAGCGGAAAAGGATCGAGATTTCTTTATATAATAATGAATGTATTTCGGTTAAAGAAGAATTTTTGCCCCAAAGATGTCAGCGACCCAGAAAGGGAAAGAGAATGTTTAAAAATGGAACAGCACAATTCGCGGTTTTTTCGCCCGTACCATCCGATAAAAAAGGAAAAATTTTATTGGAACAAAGAGTTCTATTTATGCTTTTGCCAACTTTTCTGAAAGTCTTGGCATAATGGAAAGTACTCTGTAATGTGTAGCTATGATTCATCGATATTTTACTATCTCTAGTACGGTTATGAGGTCTACCCACAAAACAACATAGTTTCATTCACACTATACTACTACAAAGAATTGGTTCGCATACTACACGTTTAGTTATCTTTCAAGAAACAGTAAATGTCAATTTAAATGTTTTCGATCTTAAATCTCTGCTAACACCTCGTAATGAAGTCGAGTGATTTTAGACTTTATAAAAAGCACAAACTGTGAAGTTTTGAACGGCTGATTTGATGTAAATGTGCGAATAAGCCATTTCCGAGTTCCAAAAATTCTCACTTATTAAAGGAGGCTAAGTGCAAAACTTTTCTTGATTTTTGTTGTGAAAATGAGTTTTATTTGCATGAGAATAAAAACATGTTTATATCAATAGCGCAGGGGCGGATCCAGGATTTTTGTTAGGAGGGGGTGCATTCGTCTCTTGCTCTACTTCAACACCAATAAACCACATAGTTTTTTTTTTACAGAATGCCAGTTGTATTAGAAAACCGCAGGTCATCTCAGCGGGGGGGGGGTGGGCACCCCCTACACCCTCCCCCTAGATCTGCCCCTGTAGCGTCGTACTAAACCTGGCCATGAAACAGAGGCATGGGCCAACTCGGAAATCAGACACATGATTCCACAAAGCTGGAAATACCTGTTGCTTTTACCTTTCAGACAGCATGGGGCAAATCTAGCGGCCAGGATGTACTTTCACTTCCGTGAAAGTACTTTGAAAGTTCTTATGCCATTGCAGGACATGTTTGAAACATCGGCGCTGTTTGACTCACGAATTGACATTCTAAACTGCTCGGCCACCGAAGACTGTAAGTTTAAAAACATGGTGTAATATATAGAGAGATTTTTCCTTTCGAAACCAAGAGAGTATTACTGAGTACTGTTTTTAATCGTAAAAAATACCTATTCTGCATTTACTTTCGACACACCAATTTGCATTCGAAGATTTCCCGGTTTAGGTCAGGGTTTGTCTCACCATCGTACAAATGGCCTATTCCAGAACTAATCGAGAGTTTTCCTCTCTTTCTCGTATCCCACAGCGTTCTGCAATGTAACGGAAATAACCGATGTTGTGGCAAAGACTGACGGCATAAGATTCTCCTTCAATCATCTGCGAGTTGGTCAAACTGGCCTCATACACGGCTACAGGATAGTTTCCCGCCAAATTGGAAGCGTCTCTTGGAGAGAATTAGACAAGCGAGAGTCAATAAAATCCCCTAACAGTGTGAAACTTACTAAACTTCATCCGTACACTAGTTATAGCATCCGCATCTTCCACTACAGTGTCCTTGGTTTCAGACTTGGAACCAAGTTAGCAAATTATACAACCGCAGAGGCTGGTAAGTTTAACATGCTTTCCTCTGTGTCAAACTCAACTTCACTAGCCTTACTTCTTACAAAATGTGTTTGTTAATTTTGTCCTGAAAACAAGGTTGATTAGGTTAATTTTGATGTAAACAAAAAATATATGGGCAGTTGCCGTCTTAAGGTAAGGTAAAATTTATTTTTTACATACCTAGCTCCGACTTAGTCGCGGAAAGTTGTATGGGCCGAATTCAAATCGAATTTAGGCTGTTCTATATTAACAGAAGTGCGCCTTTCGTTTTACTGTAAACACATAAAATATAGAGAATGAAAAATAATCTGGAAAAAGTCAACGACTAACCATAGACGTTCGTTTTTGGCAGGAGGGTGTCTTAGGAAGGTGATTATTTGAAATGCCATCACAGCCCACATGTCTTTACGTTTACAGCTCCAAGCGCTGCCCCAAGCATTGTAAGCCTCTATAAGACAAGTTCGACCAGTTTGTCTATTTCGTGGCTTCACGATATTCCCAAGGATATGTTAAATGGCGTATTGATCGGTTATAGAGTGCGTTGGCAGGGTTCGAGGTCAGATGAAGTGTTACTGGATAACGTTACAAACAGTTACACCATAACAGACTTGACCAACTCTGGGTTGTATAAAATTTATGTTGCTGGACGTACGAATGGTGGGATTGGAGTTGAAAGAAATAAGACTTTTGTGGCAGATGAAGATGATGATGAAAACGGTAAGCAAGTAGACGAGCACAGTCTGACTTCTTGTCTTATGTTTTAGTTTACCAACACGATCGTTTTGGAAAGTGCTGTAATTATCATTGGTCGATGCTATGCCAAGCAGACAACCAGCCAATCACAGAGTAGAAATATTGAATATTCAGGTCCCCTGATTGAGGTCATGGTACCGTTTCGCGGTACCATCATCGAGTGTGGAATTCGTGTAAGGTTTGTCCTCGTCCCCAGATTGCAAGCAAAACGCCCTAAGAATGAGGTTGATTTTGAACTTTTCCATGAAGGGAACTTTCGCAACTATGATCTTATAACTCGACGATTTCTTATTTTCAGATAACAATCAATGTAGTTCCAGTCCCTGCTCCAGTGAGGTGGAGACATGTATCAATGGCCAAGGATCATTTTTCTGTTTAAGAATCACCAATGATAACTGTAAGCATTTGGTGTCTAACTTTCTTTGTAATCTTTCGAGGAATAGTCCTTAAGTTATCGTTTTCACCACTTTTTGTAGTCATCGCTTTTCTCCATGTGATCTTGTGTCATAATTTCATTGTCAATTTTTGTTTGTCTCGTTACTCTCACTTTCAATGCGAGGCAAAGCGCAAACCATTTCCTGTGAAAATGAGTTTTATATGCGCGAGAATATAAAGTTATTTTCATGACAAAGACCTCGCTCTCAGCCTCTTTTTAAAACAAAGGAAATTCGGACAAGGTCTATTTAAAAGATGTGTCGCTAATAGTAGGAAAAAGCGAACAAAACATAACTAACGCGTTTCCTTTGAATCTTCAGTGAACACTGTTGTTTTTGTTCTGTTTTGTTTTTTGTTTGTTTATCTTTTTCTTCGATTTCTAGATAATTCAAGTTGCGTCTTTGAATCGCGTGCCAGAATTGATAATATCGATAAAAATGTATACACAACCACACAGCTACGAAAAGGTGAACGGTATCTTTTAACAACAAATGTAAACAGCAGCTGCAGTCAGTTGACCTTTGAATGGAAAGTTGCCAAGGTCACAACACTTCCATTGGCCGTTGAAACAGCGTATTTCAGAAGCGTTGCATCGGGATCCGAATGGAGCGATAGTAGTTCCCTCTACCCTGGGAAATACTTGGTTGAATTTGTTGGTCACTTTGAAAATTTCTATTTCCTGGATTACGGTTTTATTGAAGTTTTGCCGTCTCCACCAGTTCCGCTTATCGTAGGTGCATCAGAAGTGTCACGTCAACAGGGAGCTGTCCTGACTTTTGATGCCTCTCCATCTTATGACGCGGATCTTGGGCCAGGAATTAACGAGGGTTTAACATTTTCTTGGACTTGTTCAAGTACATCGGGAGGTGGTTGCTTCGGATCTGCAGAACAAAATTTTATTGATAATGGTAGAATAATGTCAGTAAACACCACTGCAATGCAAGCCCACCAATTCTATGATGTCCAATTAAAAGTCTCGGCAAAGAATGGACTGAACAGCAGTTTTATGCAGCGAGTACATCTTGTTTCTTTTAGCCCTCTCCATGTCGAGATTAAGTAAGTTGTTTGTAGTTATACTTGTAGTTTTACGATTTTTTAAGGCGTTTCGTCTTCTGATATACCCGTATTTACTCAAGCGATGGAGGTAAAGGGTTATTTTCTGAGTTTCAAAGTCATAATGAAAGTGGTCCACCAACAAAATATTTATTGAGTTTCATAAAGTATGTCATGTAGGCTTTTGCGTATTTAATCAGTGGTATGGAAGGAATGTTCTCAACTCTTTTTTTGCACAAGAAGTCATTAACCTTCGCAGGAATACATTAACGCCGATAACGTCATGGCCTTTTGTGTTTATCTCATGAATAAAATGCGAGGTAACTCTTTGACATAACTTCACGTGCTAATTTTAAGTGGTTTAACCGGCTGACCAGGTTGTTTAGTTATTTTTATGTCGATAGACATCTTGGTTTTAACAAGCCAAATGTTCATGAGCTCACTTTCCTCGAAAGGGGTGTAAAACATCCCAACTATGCTACTTTCATCGACCTAAAGTTTACTTTACAGTTTACTCGCTTAAACTGTCATGAAGCTGCGGCAAATGGTTCAGCGAATGCGTTAGTAATTGTTTCCTTAAAGGAGCTTTATTTCAGTCTGGAAAGACAATCTCCCAGCATACTGTACTTGCCTGTTCTGTTAATGCACTATGCCTTATTTTCAGGTGTATAATAAACTGTGAAATTGACGTTAATCCCTCAGTAAAAATAACTGTGGTTATGAACTGTACAAACTCTCCTTGCCATAGCAAGAATGCTCATTTACGACGTCAGTGGACATTATCCATTCAGAACCCTTCAGATGGATCGTGGACAACAGTTAATCATGACATCCTTGCATCGACTCCACTAAACTCGCCTTCCCTGGTTATTAATGCAAATACGCTTATTCCTGGGCGACGTTACTGCCTCAACGCTTCGATAGCTAATTTCGTTGATAGTTGTAGTGGTTTCTCCAAGTGGTGTTTTGCAACCACTGTCATACCTACGGGTGGCTCATGCACTGCTAACCCTCTCTCTGGAGTATCGCTACAGCAGTACTTCGTGTTTTCGTGCACCAGTTGGGAGGATGAAAATCAGCCACTTCTTTACGAGTTTATGACAACAACAGTGCAGGGATTAGTTACAACATTATCATACGGATATTTGCCTGTCGTGGAGATGACCCTACCACCTGGTGAAGCATCCAAAAACTATTTCCTTACCGTGGATGTTTTCATAACAAGTACTTCTGGCTCCAGAACCAAGGCCACTATAAGCTTACAGGTTCGTACAAGGAAGGAAGAATCAGTAGTAATTATGATATATTTTTTGGGAGCCTGTTTATTGAAATTTGCGACGGACTATCAATTCTAATAGCTGCAAAATATGAGACGTAGTGTACTGTATTTTTTCTTGGGGAACGAGCTGTTACGAGTCCGCAGTAGTTGGCGTAATGCTGTAGAGCAATCGTGCCAAAACATTGGCTACGCTAATGCAAAAAAATAGAATGAATACAGTAGTGGCTTTGAAACACTTTGTTACTCGCCATTTCCCCAACTAAATCATTGTTCAAGTAGTGTTACTCACACAAAGGCGCTCAACGCTAGCTTATTTTTGCCTTTCAGGTTTTTCCGTGGTTTACAGAGGAGGTGTTTAGTGAAATGTTTGGTATTTTGGAAGGTTCATTCGGCCCGTCTATCATCCGGGGAAATATGAAACATGGGTCACAGTTAGGCACTGCTCTTTTAGAAATGCTGGAACTACAAAAGGACGATGGCGTCAACGCGGAAAGTAAAAAGCAGGTATGGAGAGGTTACAAAAACGTTGATAGAAGTTCTCTCTTTGAAAAGTTCATGGCTTCTTGATCTCAGAGAAATTAAAGAAACGTTGGCCTTTAAAGGAACAAGTGGTTTTAACGTTACAAAACTTTAAATTTGGGGTAGGGCGGGGCTTCAAATGCCCCCTGCTCTCTCGGTCTGAAGATGGTTAAACGCTTTAACTCCTTGTCATATTATTAATATTTCAGGGATTATTGTGGAGGGTGAGTGGATAGAGTGAAAGTGCTACATAACAGTAGTCGCTTATGGTATTTTGCATCTTTTGTAGGTTAAAACGTTCATCACAAAGGCATTAAGCAAAGTGAACGTCGTAGAACTAAGAACGCTAATCCAAACTTCTTGCATGCTGGCTCTTACGACGAAAGTCCCTTCAGAAATCGCCCCAGAAGTTCATGTAAGTTAAATGACTCTTACGTTATTTCAGCTTTTCCGTTGCTTTTTTACATTACAGTCAAAGTAAAGACCTATACATAGGGTCACGTCACTCATGCAACAAAACAATGAAACGGCGGCCATTTTGTTGTACCAAAATCCTGTTGGATTTTTTATGTAAACATTTTCTCTATTTCAATAAATTTGTGTAGCTACTAGCTACGCGAGTGAAAATGCTCTGTTGTCAAAAAGGGAAAAGAAGTCAGCGATAGCTCCCACCTGTCGCTGGGACGGTGAAACATTGATTCCTCTCGCTTTTTTCCCCAGTCATTTGCTGCGCCTCCCGGGATCTCTCAAAGCGTCTATGGAAGAGGCACTTGAATGCCTCCTGCCATTTCAGTGTATCACCATGATGATGGTGTAATCGACTTAAAAAAAGCCCCACCCTCACGGCTTCACGAACTTGTTTAACTGCATACTCCGGCTAAACTGTGTTCCTCAACCAAGAACACATAATCATGATCTGAATGAACAGTTTCTGGCCAGTTGGGATTTCTGACAACTTCTTTTGTGATGTACTCATCATTCATAGCCAGGTTATTGCTTGTCCACTATCTCACCATATTTCCTTAATGCTTAATGATCCTAAAGGGATCTTTTGAATAGCGAACATATTTGTGCTGTTATACACTTTTATTGTTCTGAGGACCTTTTTATTTTTGTTGTACAGGTATTAATCTCTGCAATGCTGCTGAACATGACAAGTTTCCTTGTGTCTATCGCTGCCAAAGGTAACGTCGCAAACGTACCTTACATTGAAATAGCTGAGAGAAATTTGGTATTTGCCTGGGGAAATCAACTGAAAGCCTCTGCGTTTGAAGGTCGAAAATTGTCGAGTTCCTCAACTTTAAGTCAAGCAAATGTAAGTCATATCATATTGTTTTTAAACAGTATTGCCCAATCATGTCATCTGAATCTGTCAGTTTTCTGTGAACTCGAAGGTTTCTAGTGCTGAACACGTTGGAATCCAGGTCTAAACGCAAATTGCCAGCGGCATGGTGTCTTTCATGATAAATATGGATTTCAGCTAGTTGTGAATATGGGAGAAGTGTGACCGCTAGGCCTCTTGGGACGGATGTGATGGTTACGCAGGAGGGAAATAAGTGACAGGCGTGAAAACCTGGCCAGTTGAGCTAGTTGGGACAAACCGAACAGAGCTGGGCCAGCTGAACCAGGTAGACCAGTACGCACATACATTTTGTGGTGAACCAGCGCCTCGTCGTTCAGGCAGGGCGCTGTTCCGTAGGGCTCCTCCACAGTAACCAAAACTATGTTTCAGATAGTTGGTTCTAGGTTAAGATAGTTAAGGTAATTAGAACAATTGCGACTGCAGGGTCATTTACGAATTATGTCCATGGGGCAGAGGCGACAGCTGGGCGAGCTTTTCCAAATCACTCCTCATTTTTGAAATACAGTTCTCGCTTTTTTAGAATCTTAGGTATCAAACTCTAACTGCCCTGGAAAATCTTCACCTGATATTAAGGGTAATAGCGGAGACCAAGGTTGTTGACGAAGAACCCACAGTCATGCGCACTGAATCCGTGAATACACTGGTTGTGCGACTGCGCCTTGAGAAAGTAAAGGGAACCAGTTTAACTCTCCCAACAGGATCAGTTCACTTCCCAGACGACATTGGTGGCAGTTTATTTGGCGTGGGAGACTTTGTAGATGTCGAGGTACTTGTCTTGTTGTGTTGTGTCAGTGGAAGAGTGAAACACAACATCAAATCTAATTGTTGCTCGTCTATAATGCTGTCAAATCTCCTTTCTTAAGCTTTGCGCATTTCAAATTTGATTCAAAACAATTCACTTCCTGGGGGTACAGTTTTCTATTAAAAATCCATTAACTCTATAGTTTTAAGTAGTTTCCCAATGTTCATTAAAGCTTGAATGTCCCTGGAAAACCTTATTTCAACTGGATCTACAAAAGCCTGAGAATAAAAGCAGTATTCTTATGTACGGCGTTCGTTTTTACAAATGTTTACTCTGTAGGCAGTTTCATCGCCTGTGAACTATTTCGCCTGGGACTCAAGTGCAAACCTTGTTACCTCACATATTCTTCAAATCAAACTAAGAGGACAACCTGGTGACGTCATACCTGTGCATAACCTGTCAAGTAACATACAACTTGAGATTCAATTCAAAGAAGAATCCCCACAGAATGAGTCTCTTTTTGCAGAGCGGCTATTTTTAAAACCCGGAAAGATGCAGTTTCACAAAGTTGATGTGATTGAGGAAGGAACATCTTTCCTGCTAACGTTAGCCATTAATGAAACCGTGAACGTTTTTGTTAAACATGGGACCAAACCTTCAGTAAAAGATCACGAAAGGAACTTCTCAATTCCGGACCTTTCATCCTGTACTAAAGTAACTGGCAAAGAAGAGTACAACTGCAGCCGAAACCCACAGCAACTATTTTTATCAACAAATGTTCTAAAAAAACTTGGCGTTTATTATTTAGGAGTTTTACTACCGGAAGAGACTCCTTCCAGTAATCATTCTCATCGGACAAGACGGTCTTGTTTCAGCGGTATCAGAAAAAAACGGTCATGCGTGGAGGCAAAAGATCCACCACCTCCTATTGGAGAATATGCGACTTCTCCGTTACCATCGTACGATCCCCTCTCCGATGTAAACTACACCATTACAGCTGAGGAACTTAGTTGTCGCTTTTGGTCAGACGATGAACAAAAGTGGGTGACCGACGGATGCAAGGCATGTATAATAAGTAAAACACATACCTAATCGGCGACAAAACCGTCAGAGAACAAAGGAATCCACACCCCTCCCCACTCCCTTCCATTAAATGCTGGGGTGTTTGTTGTTTGTACAGGTAGCTCGAACAGCGGCACAACTTTGCCTTGGGGGAATGGGGTAGGAAAACCATTATTTTTCCTTTTTAAGTCAAAAAGCCCTTTTAGATTAAGTGTCTCAACTAATTTTGTCGCCGATTGCCGTAAAAATAATCCGTTTATAACCTTCCTCTTGGTACTGGGTGGTAGAGTTTCGATTTCAGTTGCATGCACGGTCGTGAAAATAAGTCTTGTGACGTGCACAGATCCATCCCTAAATAGAATACTATCCGCAAAAGTAATAAAACCCGTTGTCATTTAATTGCCGTTACTTCTCTATATTGTAGGTTGGCGCTGGAACAACGAGGCAACGTCTTCTATGTCTATGCAGCCACTTAACATCCTTTGGAGGAGGCCTTTTGGTATCACCGAACCCAATCGATTTGAATGTAGTGTTTAAAGAACTTATGCGCCTTGACGAGACTGGAAATATTAGTGTTTTACTGACGATCATCTTCATGTTTGCACTCTACGTTCTAGCTATCATACTGGCAAGAAGGGCGGATAGGAAAGATCACGAGAAGGTAACAGCTCTTTGTTAAAATAATATGGTATTGTTTTTAACACTTTTTACTTTTAATGTAAAAGAAACTATATCAGTTTATCGACCATTTCAATCTATTTTGGTTCACTGAAGCAACTATTTGCATTGCTGGTAGGACGTTTCATGGACGAAAGATGACTAAAATTGATTGTAAAAAATATAAAGCGCGGTTTCCATTTGCCTAGCAAATTTTCGTTTTGTTTGGCTTTTCCACTTTTATCGACTGAGTCTTGTTATGCAAATCCAGACACTTTAGACAAGAATCGTGGCGCAAGAGAAAGAAGTGGATTTCCATTCGTTCGCTTTTTTACTTTCCCTTGGTGCTATTTGTAAATAATTCCCAATAATATTTGTTTGCGCGAGTAGTATAGTACTTTTTGTCCAGGAATATCATTAAGTTACGCAGAAATGAAATGCGGGCGAATCTTATTAAGATAAGGTCATGTGCTGTTTAAGGTGATATATGCGGGTTGACTGTTCAGTTCGGTTAGCTATTTTTAGTCTTCTCCACAATTCAGTTATTTTGTTACCCCTTTATATGTCCCATCGACCTAAAATAACTAAACAACCTGTCAAACCAGTCAAACCACCTCGAAACAGCCCATGACCTTATCTTAATGAGATTATCCCGCATAAAGACAAACGGAATAACGTCACTGGCGTTAATGCATTCCTGCGCACGTTAATGCGATTCCTGCGAAAAAAAGGATTCAGTCTCTACTATACTTCTTGCGCGAGGCAGAAGATTGTACCAAAAATTTAGTGCCCTTTCATTTCAACCCTTCAGCTTGGCCCAAGAACTGTTTTAAAATCTGACGAAGAAAGAGAGGATATTTTCCGCAGTCAGTATGAAATCATACTAAGCACCGGTGTCTGGTTCAACAGTGGTACGACAGCCAACGTAACAATGATGTTTTACGGCAGCTCTTCTAACAGTGGAAAGATCACCGTGTCTCCCAACATGAACCCTAGCCACGCCCTCCTTTCTCGCGGGAGTGTTGACAAGTTTATTATCAACCTCTCATCTTCCCTTGGAGCATTACGCCATGCTTATATCTGGCACGACAACTCCGGGGACAATCCCTCATGGTATTTAGATCATATCACAGTCAGAGACAAACAAACTGACAGAGAATGGACCATGTCGTGTAACCATTGGTTTGCTCCTGACAAAGATGATGGAAGTATTTTTAGGAAGCTTTCCGTAGAAAGAACAACAGCAGAGCTGCCAAATTTTCAAGAAACGTTTCGCTCTAAACTGTCCGGCTTACTTTTTGAGACCCATTTGTGGATGTCATCTGTTACCAAACGTCCAGGAAACTCCTTCACTCGCGCGCAACGTGTCACGTGTTGCCTTTGTGTCGTGTTCACTGCGATGCTCGCCAATGCAATGTTTTATAACTTGGAGGGCGAAGTTGACAGCAGTTCTATCAGAATTGGTCCTCTAAAGGTATCCATAAGACAAATTATCATAACAATTCAGAGCTGTCTTGTGATAGCACCCATAAACTTCTTTATTGTTGCCATCTTTAAAAATTCGAGCCCAACGTTTGGCAAAAGTTGTTGCAAACGTCCGAGGGACGAGAAAACTCAGAATTTGGATGAAGATGACGAGAAACCACTACCCCACATTTTTGTGTACATTGCCTGGTTCCTTTGTTTCGCTGTCTCCTTCGGTTCAGCTGTGGTGGTGTTTTTCTACAGCCTTATGTGGGGCAAAGAGACCGCGGACCAATGGCTGTCTTCAATCCTTATGTCTATTACAATGGATGTCCTTGCTATTCAACCTGTGCGGCTCGTCGTACTAGCGGCAGTAACCGCTATAATTATAACGAAAGCAAGAAGTACCAAAGCAAAACTCTCTTTAAAAGGAAGGTATGTGCATTGTGCCTCAATAGGTTGTTTTGTTGTGATTGTTTGAAAATCTTAGCAGCGTGGCCGTGTGGTCAGCGCGGCGGATTCGCAATCTGGTGGTCCAGGGCGCGAATTCGGCCCTGGTCACTTGCTGGATTTGTTCTCAGTTGGACCGAGGTAAAGTCCTCGACCACACTTGTAAATAGCCAACTGGTTGCCTCCTGTCAGTCAGGTTTTTAATCTCGTTATGTTATATTTGAATTGTTTATAACCAGTTTTTAAGTGGAGTGCCTGTAGACTAGCTGGGTAAGCTAAGTACAATTTCCACAATAATCAAGCCTTTAACCTTTTAAGCATTGATATCGAAGCCGTTGTTTTTAATAATATAATGTTATTCATGTCATCTCTAAACCAATGACATTTAATGGTATGCCTCAAGTTGTAAAAAAATACTGTCAGTTACAGTTCCATAATTTTTGCCTGGTCTACCATACGTTCCAAGACGACACTGCTGTGAATGAATGCCAACCAACCAATTCATCCCCCCTCAGTACTCTCAGAGGTACAGCAGGGGAGGGGAAGGGCATTCGGAACCTCCATTGGGTTTTGTTAAGTTATAATAATTTCGTCTGCCACAAGAAAACACCTTTTCTTTTGAAACTTCCGAAAATAGGAAATTGTGAACCACAAAGTTATATTTCCCCTCAGGTCTACCGAAGAGGAAGATGAGGAAGACATTCCAAACATGGATAATGAAGATTTACCAGATCCATTGCAGTTAGAATGGTTTAAAAAGTACAAAATGGATCAAGCAGAAACCGTGGCGCTTTTTAGGTCCTTGACATTCTATCTGGTATTCGTTTTGATACTGGCGATTGTTTGTTACGGAAACAGAGATTATCACCAGTATCTGATGGGCAAAGAAACGAGAACTATTCTTCCAAGAGCTGAAAAGGTATAAGATTTCAGTTAGTGGTGGCTGGTGAATTTTGAGGCCATTGCTTTCTGTGAATACTTTGTTATTCGCTTGAGTTTTTGCTTTTAATCCTACCAAGGTTTTCGCTCCGTCCCGGAATCCCGAACATTCTTATCGACCAATCACAATCCCGGTCAGATCTTTTAATTACATTGCCTCACAACTTGATTTCAAAATTTTTCGTCAATTACAACTCCCGGAAATTTAGAAAGGGCAATCCCATATGATGCCTTATCACCGTGAGTTATCACGGTAAGTCGATTACAGGAGAGTTACCAAATCTTGTAATTTCAATATTCTGCATGTCAAGTATTGAAATTTCAAAACTTCGAATAAGGCGAATATTAGAATTTAGAGATTTGATGTGCAGAATATTTCTCTGTGATTTTTTCCAGGTCGATGGTGCCCTCAAATTCTGGACCTGGATGAGCACCAATTTTACCGCTAATGTCTTTGGAAGCCGTTGGTACAACGGTAAAGAAGAAACAAATGGAATATACATGAGCGACAAAAGCTCTATTCTGCTTGGCATGCCACGAATAAGACAGCTGAGAATTAAAAAAGGTGATCTTCACTATTCGCTTGACAATAAAGTTAAAAAAACTACTTAGTTCAGGCTGATTTGACAATTCCAGAATAGGTCCTTTGTGGCTAGTACAAAGCCACCAACCTAGAAAGCACGGGGCGCACTGAAACAGAAAAAACAAAGAGCTGGATGGTGATTTTCCAGTAGATGTCGTTCTCCATGCTTTGAACAACTTTGTACCTGTTGATCATAATAATAAGAGACAACCTCACAAGAAACTGGTGTAGTAGTATATAGCGCACTGATTTAACCTTTTTGCGCAGGAACCGCAGTCAATCAATCAAAAAGCAAGACAATAACTAGAAAACCTGTCAAACCGATTAAACCACCTAAAAATAGCCCATGACCTTAACAAGAGATAAAGGCAATAGGCTATGACGTCATCAACATTAATGTATTTCGGCGCACACTTATGGGATTTTTCCGCATTTTATTCATGAGATACAACCTCGTTCCCAGGGTTCACTCTATTCCTCTTTCGAAAAAGAATTCTTTCTTGAGGGAGGAAGAGAGAGAACCCTGGGAACGAGTTTGCATGAGATATGACGTCATCGATGTCTGTGTATTCCTGCCCATATAAGGAAGTAACGTGTCCCTGATTTACTACTGTTGACCATAATAATAAGATGCAACCTTACAAGAAATTGTTTCTTGTTTTCTTTTTTCCACTAACAGAGGTATGTCCTAGGACTCTGAGAAAAGGGTACAATATATCTGGCAATTGTTATCCGCAATATTCCAAACAACTTGAGGACAAAACATCAATGTACCAGCCAAAGTGGAAACCTCTTCCTACCAACTCCTCTCCTTTTGTTTTTAAAGAGTTATGTCCAAAGCCGTGGCGTTATCGTTCCTCGGAAGAGATGAAGACTTCACCTTTGATGAGTCCTCGCGTAGTTTATGGTGGTGGAGGTTATGTAGCGGATCTGGGCTATGAAATGGAGACCGCAAGAGATGTTTGTAATGTTCTTAGTAAAAACAATTGGATTGACCGACGAACTAGAGCAGCAATTGTGGAATTTAGCATCTTCAATTGCAACGTGAACGTTTTGGTGGTGTGCCATTATTTCTTTGAGTTCTTAGCTTCTGGTGGCGTTTTCACTTACGTTAAAGTAGACATTTTAGACTTGTATCCGGTAGAAGCTGGTCTTGCCCAACTTGTTCTACTTTTTCGACTTGTTTTCGTCGTCATGGTTATTGCTTCCATGGTCATAGAAATCGTGAAAATTGTCCGTCAAAGACGGTCGTATTTCAAGAAAGTTCATAACTGGCTTAGTATTGTTCTAATTATCGTGTCTGTTACAGCTGTGGTAATTCACATCATCCGAGAACAGCGCACTCAAAATACTATCAAGCAACTCAAAGCGAATTTTTACACCACTGTCAGCTTCCACGATCCTTTAGGATTGCTAGAAGTTGAAACAATCATTCTTTCTTTAGTTGTTTTTCTAGCAACCCTCAAGTTACTCAGCCTCCTACGTTTCAGCAAGCAAATTGCCATTCTGTTGTTAACAGTTAAGGTCGCTTTAAGACATTTGGCCTACTTCTCTATGATGTTTATCATAATCTTTCTTGCTTTTGGCATGTCCGGAATGTTGGCCTTTGGAAGTGTCACGGAATCTTATTCCAGCATTCTCCATCTTTGTGTCTCCCAGTTTGAGTTTGTTCTCGGCAAAGCAGTTCCTCAAATGGACATGAATAAGGTGAATCCTCCGCTAGCCTTCTTGTATTCCATTCTCTACATATCCTTCATGACTGTTATTATTGTCAATTTATTCATCGCGATTCTGAATTCTTCTTCAGAGGCAATAAAAAATAATCAGGAATCTGTATCTGACAAGCTCGACCTGGCCGATTTCATAGTTGGCTATTTCACCCATGGCTTTGTCAATATTTTTCGCAGAAAGCAACATCAACAGCCTCCGCTTTACTGTGAAAACATAACGGTTAAAGACGACTGTGCTTACGTAGAGAACAGCCTTGATAAGATCAACGCTCGAATTTTAACTTTGGCAGACGACCCATATACAGAACACTACCTTCGTTTCTTGAACGTTTGGCTCAGAAACGCTTCCATCAAGAGAACACAAAAAAATCCAAAGATGAAAAATGCTCTCCGTAAATTGAAAAGGAAATGTGTTCACATAACACAATAAACGACGAAGAGGAAAAGTTTGTTTCCCTAGATGAAACATTCGTCGATGAGGAAGACGGCAGAAGCGGACCTTCAGAAGTACTTTTAAGCAAAGATAAAGCTTTGAAAGATCTCTTACACGAAACGGATTTACCGCAGTCTTTATACAGTCTTCAAAATGAAATCTCCATAAAAGACATTTCTTTGTCTCCCGAAGCGACACGGGAAGCCAATTACCGAGGACGAACAAACTTTATCAGCAACGTCCTCTCAAGTAAATATCACGTGAGAAAAAGTTCTTCAAATGGTTAACACCATAGAATCTTGGCGGGATAGTAATGCATTTCTTTGGTGAATGTGATTGACGATACTGTTATCTTAGTTGTCCATTCTTTCAAATATCAACAGCCTTGAAACCCTTGATGTCACGTGACCATTACATTACAAAATAGAGAAAACTCAAAGACATCTCTCCAGTGACGCTGAATACAACTTGAGAATCCACCGGAATAATTCACGATTTTCTATATGGAAGCCATTGTTCTAGATTTTTTATTATTTTTAAAATATTTTGTTGTTGACATACAGTGCATGAGTTTTAATACCAATCAATAGCTTTTCCTTTTAGAAAGTAGTCGACTTTGTCCAGGCATGTTACTATCATTTTGGGGAGAACTGTTAGTAACAGCACCAGAGAAAACTTATCACACGCCAGACTCCTATTCAACTGTTATTGAGTTTCTCTTGTTATTTATCAAAGTGTATTTGATAATACCTAGAACCAAGACTCAATCAATAGGATGAATTTTAGATGAAAACGTTTCAAGCAGCTGGTTGCGTTGTATCCCACCGAGCAAAATCAATAAGGACCAATTTGACATCATAATTGATTGCAAAAAAGAAAACAGACTCGTATGTCTTTTACAAAAAATATCCTTCTGTTCTTCTTTTCCTTCGCTGCAAAGAAACAAAAAAATCGTGAAAAATCAAGAAAGGTAGATCAAAGCTAGGGTTAACATTTTCACAGATCAAAGTTTGAGACTTAACCAGTCTTCTGTTTTGAACTTAGGGCGAATAGTTCAATGTATTTTGTTGAAAAACGGGTGACATACAGACCATGAAGGTAGAGAAGAATCTCATTTGTATGTGTAAAATGAAAATATATTTAGGGTCAGTAATGGTTTACGTGAAGGTTGCTCCCGTTTTCTATTTATGGAGAACAAAATTGGAGTAATGAAAAAGTTCCTAGGAAGACGTCAAAACCACGGTGGCGTCGTTTTTAATCTCGAAATGTCCCACGCTGTTTCATCCTTTTCATCATTTTCATGGTGATTTTCGGTCATAGATGATGGGGTGAAACATATTAAACTTTAAATTATTGAGTTGTGTAGCAAATGTCAACACCCTTTACGTGCAGTGTTTCACTGTCACTGGCCGGGTGATCTGTTGGTGCGCATGCCCAAGGAAGAAGCCTTGATGTCAAGTAGTGTTAATTAAAAATTATTTTCAGGTGCTAAAAGTTCTATTTTGTGTATTTCGTAAATTTGTTCCCAAACAAATTCCGTCGTTTATAGACACCACATTGCCTCTATTCGCTGAAAACGTGGGCATCTTTTGTTTCTTTCTTATGCTTTCCGGGTTTCCTCTCAGTCTGCAGAAGATCATCACATTATTATTTAAATGGACTCTAGCTGAGTCTGGATCTGAAAAACAAGAGGTCATTTCTGAAACGCTAGTGCTGCAAGCAAAATTAAGTCAATGGCAATCAAAAAGCAATTGAAATGGACAAAAATCATTTTATGGTAATGAAACGTTAATTAAAAATTTGTTATACCAAGATGTCACCAACTAGTTTTCACAGTGAGGGACCATTATAATAACCTTTTTCTCTTAAAATATACCGTGTTTTCTTCACCGTAATTATCAGGGAAAAAATTGTTAAACAAAGGGTTAGGTTAACTCGCGTACCTCTCTGTCGCTTTCCTCGGGCAAGTTTCAGGGCACGATTCAGTTACCATAACGAACTGGAAGTTCAAACCTCATATGCAAAGACAATTCCTAAAAAACTTAGAAGTTCACTGAAGTTATTTCTTCAGTGGTATAACTCTCCTTACAAGAGATGATGTAACAATAGCTGTCAATCAAGAGGAAAATTGTTGAGATATGAATAAAACATAAGGAAAACGTGATGGCCAAATAATTGATATATAAATCATACGTTCACTGTGAATATTGAATCGGAACGTACCGTGATTGTATAAAGACGGCCTCTGTCCTACCGAGTTCTCACATAGTCTTCTTCGTGAGTTTTGTCGCGGTTTTTTTCGCGGATGGTTTGTGCGGTAACTAGTCTTGGTTAGAAGTGTTTAACTCTCTAATATTCCTTTCTAGTCATACGCTGTGGAGATAATTCAAAAGGCGCACTCTTGGAATTATAGAATTAGTCGCGCTGCCAGGTTGGGCAAAGAAGTTGGAGAAGTTTTCGATTGCGAAGTATCCGATTGTGGTGCTTTTAACTCCATTCAAAGGCTCCCACGTACGTTGAAAACATCACTTTAGGCAACACTTTTATACCACAAGCTGGTAAGATCGATTTGTCTATATTTAGAAAACTCTGCATTTAGAAATAGTCTTATGCGTTTCACTTACATAACTTCGTAGTATAATTCTTACACCAGCGTCGTTGGGAAAAAAATTGAACAGTTATCCGAAACAAAAAATAACAAATGAAGGTAAAAGTTAATTACTTTATTTTTAAAATCATTTTTTTAGATCATAAATTTTACAGCTCTCTATGGAAACGAGACTTCATCACTTGCTTTTCGTTTATTTACTTTCGTCGTTTTACAATGAACTCACTCTGTTCTCATGTTAATTTTTAGGCTGTTAGACAGAAATAGAGTAAGAAATTTCTTGAGGAATTGTTCAAAGAAGCAACATAGAATTGGGTTTCAACCCAACAGGAAAAAAATTTTTTGTTTCACCATTTGCTGACTAGGATTAAACCTTAAACACACCTGAATAAATTTTTTTGGCAGATTGCCATTTCAGCCCTAAATTGTAAATATTCCATTTGGCTAAATGATTCTTCAATTTCCTAGTTGTTGTCATAATATTTTTTTTTGTGCATCGTGACGGATACAAACTCGTTGTTTTGCCCGTTTCAGTCGTCAAATCATCCGCTTAGGTTTTTGCTTCACTGAAGCAAAAAGAATTACTGATATAAAATTAGAACGCTTTAATAATAACAAATTTCCAAAAATGCAGAATTTCTTCCAGGGGGGAGATTTTTTTTGGTGCTTATTTAATTGATTGGTAACATCAAAACCTGCCTTATGAGTTTAATATTTTATTTAAAATGACTTGACAAAAAATGTACGTTAATTAAAGTCCTTTCACCGGGTATTTAAAACATTATTTTATTCAGTATGCTTTTAACGTAAGATACAAATCGATCGGTCGAAAACCAGAAAGGAAACCTACGTCATTGTTTTAGAGACTTTCGAGAGAGCTTTAGAGAGAAATAAAAACTTGGAAGCAGTTGTATTTTTATTGAAATCAAAAGCGATGCATTCAGTGATTCTTTTGATAGAAATGTCAAAGGTTCGAGACAATATATATTAGCTTTTTCGCAATGAACAACTTGGTCAAACTCTCAACATCTATAGCATGTTAAAGCTGGAGTTTTACGTAGATTACTTTCATGACGTTTCTGACGATTCCTGTCGCTTTTACTGTCATACGCGCGAAGTAATTGAAAGTTTAATATCTGAGGACACCCACAAAAGTACATTAAAAAGATAAGATAGGACAGATAGGAAAGTGTAATATTTGATATTTGAACTGATAGTATTGTTACTTAGCTTACTTGCGAGAGCCTGGATCAATAATACTTATTTTGTATTATCACATGGTCGCGTGGCCTTTCAATTACCCTTTAAGAAAATCTAGCTTGGAGATAGGTGGAAGATAAACATCGGTTTCTTGCATTCGACGTAAGGAGAACGCATCTCATAATCTTGGGCGTCTGTGCCAGCGGTAATCCTTTTCTTCGCTCGTGTACCTTTTCAAAGCTATATTGAATTTTAAAGTCGTTTTTTCACCTGACACTAAAATTGACGACATAAAAGCAATCACACAAGTAAAAACAGAGGCCTTAGCTTTTGGGTCAGTTTTTGCCATCTGAAAACTTATTGTCATGAGAAGAAATTTTAATTTCATTGTTTTATGAGCTCTTTGAGTGATTACAACTCGCCATCATGGAAAAATAAAACTCCATGACACATGTTTCCTGCAAAACAAACTCAGGCCGAGAACCCACTCAATAATCCGCGGTTACTCACTAATCGTAATTCAAAATCTGGGCTCGGCTTGTGGCGGTAAGAAATATGTAACACTGAATTCGACGTGTAAGAACATTAACGCATTATTTACATAGTTTGTTACAAGTAGATTATCACAAGATATATATTGCTACCCTCAATAACAGTTATTATTATTGTTATTTATTATTATTATTTTAATTATTATTATTATTATTATTATTGTTATCATTGGTATCATCCTCATCATCATCATTATCGCTGCTACGAAAGTGTCACTGCGCTGGTTCAAACTTTGTCGGGTTTATTCTATATTGTTCAACTGATCTGTCAAATGTTGGCGAATTTTTTCGGAGTTGAATTCTAAAGGACTTTATCCAATTGAGGAAAAGGAAAAGAAAGTCGTTTATTTGTGTTGACATCCTCCACAAACGTGAAATTAGGCATTTTTACGTCGTAGGTAGTCGTGCAACGACGGCAAAGAAATGTACAAAAAAAGTGTGATGCACGTGCAAAGTTGTTGTTTTGCTAATCTACTCCTATTCCTTTTTTGCTGTCCTTGTTGCCGTCGACGTCATCGTTGCTCAAGCTCCCTAATGATGTGAAATGTCAACCGCCTTTTCGCCCCACCCCCAACGGGGGCCTGGGGCCTGGCCGCGCGTTTGGGGGAAGGGATTGGGGCAAAGAGATCGCTGACGTTTCAAACTATGAGTTAGATTCTCTGAACACGGTTTTGACCGTACCGGTTTACAAATACAGTGGTACCCCCAAAATAACGAACTCCGCTATAAATAAGATTCGGGTTCCAACAGAACGCAATATAACGCACCTCCGTTATAATTACAACGAACACATTTCCCAGTTTCTGCGCTTTGTTCAGGGGAATACGATGAAACGTGGATAGTCCGACTACGAGATCTCTGGCGATCTTTATAATTTTGTCAGCCTGTTTTGTTTAAATTGGTTTTTAGGAACATTGTTTTTCTTGCCACAAACCATAAGACAATTTCCGACTGTGATTAATTGGTAAGCCAGGTTCGCTTCATTATCATTTTCAGGGGTATTTTGTAAGTGAACGAAAGAACGCTAATAATGACCCATGAAGGAAATCATTCAGAAAAACCCAATAAAATAACACAACATATTTTTTAGAAAAAATCAGATAACCAGGATGTTTTTATAGTCAAGATCAATGCCCAAAGACTCATAAAAGAAAATACAATTGTTTTTATTTCTTATTCCTTCACTTCTTTTCAACAGTATAATTAATTTTAAACACAGTTTCTTATGAAAAGAGCGTAGGAAAAACACGTTTGTTCAAACAAACGAAAACAAGATATAAGAAAGCCTAAAATACATTTACGTTTCACCTGTTACAGCCTTAGTTCTTATATTATAATGAACGAATATTCGGCAACCAATTTCGTTTATTCAGCAACTTCATTTTTTGCCATAATGAGCCTAGATCTCTATTTCTTGAGCAATACTTATATTGTGCATCCCGCGAAATTTTCGTGTGAAAGCAGCTACCTACCTTTCAGGGTGTTTACATTTCACTTGTGACGTTACATGGCAAAAGTAAACTGATATTAAACCAAACTGACGCAGTCCTCCTCTCGAGTGAATAAAGGGATGAGCTGACTATTGTTCAGCTCGTGAATGTGCGCTCGCGTCACTGAATTAATATATACAACAGCGTTTCAAGTGATTTACAAAGGCTTTGATCAAACGATCATTTGTTTTGGGGTAAGTAGAACTGTTAGACTTTCAATAATCCTGAAAACAATGCCAAAACTTAATTCAGGACAAGTTAGTCTCCGCCGAAATCAATTCCTTCTTTCTCCGATCAGGTACAAGATTTTGTGAGAGTAAAATGTTGCCTTAGTACAAAATTATATCCAAGTAAGTCCTGGAAAAGCCATCTTTTACAAGCTTAACAACTACTTATATTAATTTGCCCATGAAAGCTGTCACCATATTTATCTAACTTCATGCACGCGGATTGGACCAACATATAAAATGCATTTTATAAGCTTATATTATGACTTTTCTTAACCATCCCATTTCTTTACAATTCTTTTATTAGGTTTTGATGACTTAATTCAGGCCTACAGGATCATGCCGACATAGTGCTCTGACATCAAAGCAAATTCATTCTATCCTCGTGGAAGTGAAGTCGCGAATATTTTTTGTTTTTCTTCGAGTTTCAAACACCTGCCATCTGCCGAGTCATCTGAGCGTACAGCCGGACTAAACACTTCGCAATAAACGCTCATTTCCATTCTCACTAATCAGACAAATATATTTTCCATCGTCGATAAACGATTCCTCTGTCGAGAACTGTCAGAAAGGCCCATTATTTAGCTCACCTTGTTAATATAAAAGCCTGCAGGCCATTAAATATCGGCTCCCTTTTGGGTGGCTAAGTGACAGCTGGACTGTATATATATGTATATATATCCGAACAGGAATAATAGTCATTCGTAACAGCATTGGCTAAAGCAGAAGATATTTTCTCTGCCTTCTGTGACCAAGTTAGAGACAACAGAGAAGTTTTCATTCAAAACTGATCCTCTTTGTGGTACTATTTCTTCACTACATCACTTGCGATCTTCTACAACTGAAGAATCATGAACAGTTCACTGTCGACTGGAAATTCCTCTCAAGGCATCCTGCCCGAGTTACGGACCTATCGCCACATTGAGCTAGGTTCTGCGATCATGTTATCTATCCTCTCACCTGTAACAGTGATTTCAAATGCTTTACTCTTGACTGCGATTTACCGCGATCCGCTGAAATGTTTCCGGACGCCCATGACGTACTTCGTCGCTGGTCTTGCTGTGGTCGACTTGCTGACTGGAGCAATTGTGGAACCGTTGTTTGCAATATACTACTACATGGATTTCACGGACTTCAAGACGCCTCCGGGCGGGGCTTATCAATTGCTTCGCCGAATAGCAGGGATTATTTCTACAGTAACAATTACCATGTCGTTTTTTATTGTCCTAGCGTTGTCAGTGTGTCAGTATATCGCAGTGACCTACCCACACCAGTTCAAAGAAATTATATCTAAAAATCGAGTTCTGGGATTCCTCACTGTAAGTTGCGTATATATTACAACATTCTGTATGCTGCAATTCACTGGGATCGACCACTCAACGTATCTGAAGCTACATCTGATAATACACCCTACTCTCATATCAGTTATATTGGTGATTGTACAAATCATGCTATTCACGTCATTCAACCGACATCTTCAACATAGTAACACATTACGTAAGAAGTCATCTTTGAATCATTCTATACAGAAGAGGGCCTCTTACAAGAAAAGACTCAGCGAGCGCCAATTTACGGTCATGACACTTTACCTAACAGCTATCTTGCTCGCTTCGGCCTCTTTGCACATTATCGTTCTCTATATTCATCTCTTCAAGGAGCCAGAGAGCGATGTAGAAAACATAAACATTCATATTGGACTCCGTATAAGTGATCTGATGCTGTTCATTAAGGTTGCGGTGGATATTTTTATCTATGCCTGGCGGCTTCCTTCTTACCGAAGAGCTCTTCGATGTACGTTCTTTGGGAATGCGGCAGTCGCACGGTCGTCTACTTACCGCAAGAGTAGTGAATACGCAACCGCTGGACAAGAAAATGGGCGGCGTGGTCCTGGGACTGAAAGTGCAACAGTGTGACCTATGTTAAACAGCAAAACAGTCCGTTTTTACGAAGTCAATATTTAATAGCACACGTTCGATATATTCTGACATGACTCCTAGGCTTTAGGGACAATATTGCAAATTTTTAACGACTACATCGTCTCGCAATTCCGAGAGGAGGAGACTTGAAAAATGCACAAAAAATTTTAATTCATCGAACCAGACCTCAAGTTTAATTGTGACATTTAGAACTTTTTTCAGGTCGACCTGCCGGTCAAGATTGTCAAAACGAAATATAGAAAAATGGTTTCGTGAGCAGAAAGCCTTTATTGAGAATATAGGACTGTCATGTTTAATACCGGCCATAGAATTTTAATGCATCGAACGTGCCTTGAAAAAAATGTAAAATCATATTATTAAGATAATATATTTATTTGTAGTTAACAATAACGGTTAGAAACTTGTGTTGAGGCCGCCAAAACCTTTCTCAGAGACCATAAACATTCACTGACGAAAAGGGTATTAAAATGTGAGATTACGTGCAACGTGATTCATTTCATTTAGCAAAACAGAAGGTCTGGATTGCGCCCAAACAGGCTGAAAACGCAAAGGTAGTATCGTAGAGCAAGACTGGGGAGATGCGATTCTTTTATAAACTTTGCGCATCCTTTGTTTTCTCACACTCTGACGCTACGTCTTAAAAAAGGTTCAGTAAACCCTCCCAGCGCGATATATTTTGAGAAAACGAAAAACTGAACTGCCCATTTGTTGCAAGACCGTGTAGTCTCGTAGTCTCCCCTGTAGGTGGAAAAATATGAGAGATAAAGACTAGGCTGGTTGCTCGAAAATCATGATATCTGTTTTGTCACGTGGAAAACGGAATCTCGTGTTCCATTTACGTTTCTCGTAGTTTGTCATTCGCTTCGAACTGGCGGAAAGTCAGTGCCAAAAAACAACAGTGTAATGAGAGGGTGATAGTGAATTTGGTGAATGCTAGAGGGCAAATCGAATGGCTGAAATTGGCCGGCACGTGTTACTGAATTCCTAAGGCAAATGTCAGAGACATAAGAGCAGACGAGTGCAAACACCACAAACATCGTTGAAATTTAAGGAAAGTGACTCTTTGATGTAACTCGGTATTTGTAGAGCTCTTTCTCTCCAAAACAGGCCATAAAGCCCAAGGACTCTCCTTGTTAGACATTTTCAGCGTACGAATACTTATCAAAGTTGAAGGCTCTTAAAGCATTCTTGACAACAGATTCCGACTTGAATCTTTATTTAAATCTCGATGTCATGTATTAAACAGATAATGATAATATTTACTACAAGTAAAATTCCTACCCTTTTTATATAAGTCAATCTCGTTACCAGTGCTCTCTTACGTCTCCGAGGTCCATCTTGCCCGTTAGCTAGGGCAGCCAATCTTGCAGACTTATCCCCATTTTTCCTCAATGGTACCAGATCATGTGATATATTACGAAAAAGCACTCGCGGCATAAAAAATGCCCGTTTGGGGATTCATCCAAATAACAGTATACGGAGGCCCATACTCTTCCAAATTTTATTCAGAAGAATTTTCTTTGATCTCGTAATAACTCTTATCCCGTGATAATGTTATCCTGAGACAACATTTTTATCCCGTGATATTTTCTTATCCCGAGATAATATTTTATCCCGAGATAATTTTTTTCTAATCTCGTACCCAGATCTCACTCTGTTTTACACTGAAAACGAGATTAAATGTTTTCTTATCCCGAGATAAAATATTATCTCGGGATAACATATCATCACGAGGTAAGAAATTATCTCGGGATAAAAAATTATCTCGAGATAAAATCTCGGGATAAAATATTATCTCGGAATAAGAAAATATCAAGGGATAAAAATGTTATCTTAGAATAACATTATCACGGGATAAAGTTATCACGAGATAAAATAAGAAGAAGAGTATAAATTTAGGGATGGGACCTATGGGCCACCGTACTAACCTGTGTAAATCGAGCAGTCCTTAAGGTAACATGTTGAAAAAAAAAAGTTGCATTCATACCAAGAAATGACTTTGGGGAAATTTGACGTATGCGAGAACGTTGTGAAAATATTGTGTAAGATGTTTATATTTAGACACTTTTAATCTATTCTTCGCACATTTTTATAAATTTATACTTAGTATAAGGTCGGTACACACTAGGCGACAAGTCGCTGCAACAGAATTTTGTCGCCGCAACAAGTCGCACAAATTCGTCTGATTTGATATTTTGCGACTTGTCACAGCGACAAAATTCTGTTGCGGAGACAACGATTTTCACAAAAATTCTCGAGTACACACGAGGCGATTTGTCGCTGCGACAAGTCGCCTCACCGTGTTGCTGCAACTAGTCGCCCGACCTGCTAGCCTCCCCGCAGACGCCCTTTGGGGTTCGTTTGTCACGCATTGATTTCTCCCTCACGGACAATGGAGACAAACGATCTGTCGCCGCGACGTGTTGTCGCGGCGACGTGTCGCCAACTTGTGTACCGACCTTAACTTACCTCAGTGAAATTCGGCCATTATTTTTTTCTTGAAATTAAGCTAAGACCTATAATTTTGACCTAGTTTTATCTAGTATCAAGATATATTTTTATTTCGTCGGAATAGCCCGAAATCCACGTGAAAGTTTAACAACTTTGCATGAACAAGTGAAAAACAGAATTAGCATCAGACACTTTCTGGCTATTTTCAGTTTTACCGCAGTAAACCCTGGTGTATAACATATCATGTCAGTATCAGCATATAAAAGGAAAACTGTTCTTTAATTACGTTTGCATATTTGCGCCTTCATTTCCGGATTTGTTGCGGACTATTTCTGCAGTTTTGAATCAGTATCAAGGAAATAAGGACCATATGATCTTTTGAAATCTAGGGCGAGGTTTGCTTTATATACATGTCAGTGTGAATTTGTTCTGTTTGCGTTATCGCTGAATATTGCGTTACTGAGGGAGTAATAACGACTCGACGTAATCGGATGAAATTCAGGCTAGCTCAATGCGTGCTGTTTTTCGTTTTTAACTTTTATTGCGGTTTCGCGGTTTTCGTCAGTTTCTATTGCTGTAAATTTGAGTTTTTAATTTCAAGTGTTCCAAAAGAGGTCGACGGGGACGCTACCCTCCCCCCGCCCCTTGCTTTACCTAACGTCTGGCTGGTCCACCACTAATTGGTAAAATCAAGATGAAAGTTTCCGAAGTTGCATTCTATTCCATCCGATTTTTCAAGTTGTAACTGGAAACCGGATAGATTTTGGCCATTGTTCAATTGTTTTCAACAGATAAATTGCCCTATTGTTCAATTGTTTTCAACATATATATTGTCGTATTTAAGCTCCCGCTGATGGCAGAATCGCTGAACAGGGTCAATCGTGCACTTTCTCATTCCTTGTCTCAAATGGTCGGTTTGAGTTTCTCTGTTGGCAACAGCCGATCTTTAGAGGGTTCTCAATAAAGGACAGAATCAATATATCCACCGAACCTTAATTTGCTAAATTACCACAGAGACAAGTGTTTATACATACACATCCAAAGTTCTCCTTCCTGTTTTTTTGTCTGCGTGAACTTCGGAACTGCCCCGCCCCTACTCCCGCCCTCCGTCTTGATTGACAAAGTACGTGCCCCTGCGATACGTATTGTGGTTGAAAATGTGGTATTTTTACTTTCCCAGATAGAGGACGGTCACGTCTTAATTTGAACTCGCATAACAAGCGTTTTGCGTCGTTCATGGTTGTAAAATTAGCTAGATTCGCCCAAAATCTTGTGAAAATCGTTGTCTTTTTGCGTCGTTTCTGATCCGCTGATCATCGTTACTGCATACTCAGTTCCTCGTTGTGACAGGCGCCAAGGTAAAATAAGAATCCTTGGGGAGTTTTGTTCTGCCTCATTCGACGGAGATATTTCACAGGACTTGACCTGCATTTGACGACTGGTAGGTGAATGTTTCTTTTGCTTTTGCAAATTACGGTAGAAGGACCGTTTGATCGCAATGTGCAGCAAATCTATCCCTGTTAAGACTTACTCAGTAATATTTAAAGTTTATGTTTTGAAGGCACAAATGACTTACCAAGTTCGCTGCGGGATCTCGCTGTTGTGAGCTTTTTTGCTTTCTATTCTTGAGCATGTACTCGAAAATCTGCGCATCAAATAGATTTTTTAAATATATTTTGCTATTTATTTCACTGATCTAAACGTTGTGCAACGCAAGCATTTTGTAAGTTCGTAAGCCATGTCGAGGCAAGCAAGATTGATTAATCGTAAACTCGCCAAGAGAGAAGAAAGAAAAGGAAAGTTTCGCTTGGTTGTTTTCGTTTTTAAGTTGTCAAGCTTAGCTGCAAATTATTTGCACTTGATCATGTTTTCCACAAGGCTAGGTACGTGGACAACGTGCAAAACCAACTTAGTTAAGCTTCTGTTTAACAATTCAAAGGTCACGGTGGGGAAACACTTCCAAATGACCTTTTGTTGTTTTTAAAATTTCAGTTGTCCTGTCTGAGCAGAAATATGCCTATTTGCATGCTGTTGAACGTGTTGAAATACAGTATATTTTTTGTGTGTGACCCTCTCGGATTAAGTTTGTAGATTACTTCATTTCATTTGGTGGGTGTGATCTATATAAAATATGTTATGTCATCGTCACAACTCGAAAATTGTGGTGTATTTAGCAGACTTTTAATATTGGACTATTACGACCTTGACACTGATCAGATCTGATCAAAACTTCTAGAAAGCGCAATAAAAAAGCGGAAATGTTAAAGATATATTTACAGATGTATTGGTATTGTATGCAGTAAGAAGCTATAAATATAGTGTGAGTCCCCGTTCAGATATTGAAGAACGTCTGTCAATAATGTCTAGATAGTGGATGCAACACCCTCTTTTGATTCAGTCTTCTTTGTTTTTTTTCATTTAAGGCTTTTTAAAGTCATGTCTAGCTTTAAACCCGGATTTGTCCTTCTAGTCCTAACTCAGGTGAGTGATTTTAATTTTGAACATGGTAACATTAAATTTTTAAACCTATATTTTATCTAACAGTTTCACATTTGAATAGTTTGGCGGAAGAATTGTTTATAGTTGATAATACTCACTATCCTTGGAAGAGCCTTTTGAACTGTGCATGGGTAACTTTTCTCATTTATTATATTTTTTTTCCTCAGGCTACTCTCTTGAGTGCTGGTAAGTATTTTACCATTGTCCATGTTGGTTGTTTAGTTTAGGCCATCCTCTATTTTTTGTCCATTTAGCGTCATCCGACCGACTGAAATTTTTGGCATTCAAAAAAAAAAGTAACGACGTAGTTAAACCATTTTTCACTTGAAATAATTCTTTTAATATGAAAAATGAGCATAGTAACAGCATAGAGAAAAACAGGAACAAACACAGATTGGTAAGATTGGTGAGTTTTTAGTAAATAACAGCTTCTTTGTTGAGCAAGCTCTGATTTATTTTAATTCTAGCGGGCGATTGGGGGGGGGGGAGTATGACAAGCACCCTCTGGAATGGAAATTCTAGTGGGGTGGGGATCTCAAGCAAAAGTGCCCTCCATGGGAGGGGGAGTGGTGGGGGTATGAATATTTTCTGGAACTACACGTTCTGCGCATGGTCATAATACCCCAGTCACATTTCCATTTTCTGTGTAACAAATTCCTGCTTTGAGTAGTATTAACCTTATGACTGCATTTTGTTATTTTCTAGTAAAAGATGGAGTGTGTCCAAAGGCAGGACCATTTGGTGCCTGTGTGGTGACCTGTGGAGCTGATGAAGATTGTGATGGATCTAAAAAGTGCTGCAGCAACGGCTGCGGTGCTTGGTGTGTGGAGCCAAGTAAGCATCATAAACCTGCCTTTTTTGCAAGTAACTTATTTACGTATTACATGGGGCAGTGCAGCAGCCTTGTTTACTAGTTTTTGTAGGCCATTGGAATTGTTCTGTTTGTTTTGCGAGGGATTACATTATTTTACTGCTCTTTAGAATGCTGTTGACAGCCTGTCCTTTGCATCAGACTCTATCAAAGGTAAAAAATGACCAGGAAATAGTAGAGACAGACTCAACAAGTTTAAGGGTTGTGTCCTTCTTTGGAGGTCTCCATTAAAAGAGTTGACTGGTTAATTATGTTTCGATGAGGAAAACATCTTTGTTTTCTCTTTTTCTTCAGTGTGCCCACCAGGACAGGAGCATGTGAACTGCCCTTCCCAGCTCTGTAACTATGTTGGATGCCCCGATCAGCCTCAAGAGAGTTTAAGATGTGTAGTGGAATCCTGTGGGAAGTGTAGTGTAAAGTTTGTCAACAAAACATCTGGAGAAACAGTTGATTGTGGCCCAGGTAAATGTGTTTGAAAAGTTTGTCCAAGTCCAGGCTCTGTAAGAGGCGAAATGTCCAGAAAGTTTTCTACGCTGAAGAATGATCATTAAATCTTCATCATGATTAAAGCAGTCAAACTGTTTGTTAAGTTTTGATGTCAGAAAAAATTGTTGTATGCCATGCATCACCTAGTGATTCACTGCATAAGACGTTAGAGAGACGTTTCCCTGTTAGTATTATGAAGGTCTAACCGTGTTCTTATTTTATATCTCGATCCTTTATAGTGGAGTCATTATGTAAACGGATGCTTGCTGCTACCCAGAAAAGACCTCTTCTCCTTGGTCAGTACAAGCCTTCTTGCGATGCAAATGGTCATTTCAACAGCATTCAAAATCATGAAGGATATTACTTCTGTGTGGATGAAAGAGGAATTCCTGATTTTTCAACTAAGTCCAGAAACAACAACATAAAATGTTCAGGTAATTTTCTGGTGAACTTTCTCCACGATTATGTTCTTGTACTCAAAGTACATTCTAAAGTTTTGAAAGTGCCCATTCACAAAATTAAGATGTGGTAATCCACTGGAGGAAGGAACACAAAGTTGGAACACAGGTGTTCTGTACTGTTCTGACACATCATTTACCGCATTAAACTGGGCAATATCAGAATCGGAGAAAGTACCTCTGAACTGCATTAAGTACATGTATGTACAGTACAAAGTGGAAAAAAATAGAGCAGGGGGCTTGATGTAATAAAACTTCTACAAGGGCAAGTTACAACTGTTATTATTGTTTTAGAGTCTAAAATGTTTTAGAGTCTAAAAAGATCACTACATTTGTAAATTATACTTGTAACAGTTTTATTAAGTTGACCCCAGGAAAACATGTCCATTCTGTCAAGACGGGTATCTAAACAGAATGTGAGTTGCCCTCAGGTAGCACCAGCTCTTTAATGAAACACTGTTATACAGTGTCTCTCCCACTTCCATCTCCCCCCCCCCCCGTTATTTAGAGGGGTCAGTGTCGTTTGTTTCAGAATTCTGGAATTATATATGGTAAATTAGCAACCTCTACTGTAATACAAAAACCTCTTTGGCAAGCGTTGTGATAGCAGTAACTTGTTTTGATTATTTCATTGTATACTGTAGATTAGTATTGTAAATAAACTGCTGTTATACTAATGAGATTTTGGATCAATTATCAGAGTTAACACCATGCCAGAAAAAGATGCAAGAAGCCCTGAAGCTACCAGCCATTGGCCGCTTTGTACCCCAGTGTAAAGATGATGGCTCTTTTAAGGAGAAGCAATGCCATGCTTCAACTGGACAGTGCTGGTGTGTGGATAAAAATGGATATGAGTTTGAGGGAACTCGAACAAGAGGAAAGCTTGACTGCACTGCTACTGGTAAGAACAGTGAAGATGTCTAATCCAATCTTGATATCTTGGTTTTGTTTGTCTCTTTCCATGTGGGAGTCTAGCTCAAACAATTTCCCAGGGATTTCCAACAAGGCACCCAGTCTTTGAATTTACTTCTACACCTGTAAACCTTCGACAGGCATGTCTGTCTTTTTAGTGAAACTGAGCTGTACTAAAAGACATTTTATGGAGAATTTTAAGGTTTATTTTGCATCACATTTCTCACTTAAATAGTCCTTGAAAAAAGCTATTTTCAGTTCATGTTAATTTCTTTCTTTCCCAATATTGTCTCCACTGTTGTCTTTTTTCCTTTCTTTTTCTCTGTACATGTGATGTAAAAATAAGGTTCTTGTCTTGTCCTGTCTTGTCAGTTTGCCCAGCCAGCTCAAAACAGCTCCAATGTGATCCATCATTGTGCAGTACTGCTTCTTGCCCTGGCCAGAAAGATGTGAAGTGTAGAGTGAATCCATGCGGCAAATGTGAGGCAGAGTTTGTCAATCAATACGGCCAGAAGGTTAACTGTAAGTAGCCCTTAGAAACAAGTCTTCTGTTGCTTAACACCTTGACTGACTGAAATAACAATCAATAATTATCTGCATGTTGTTTCCAATGCCAGGCTATTCTAAATGTCAACAACAGCGTCTTGAAGCACTTGGTACCCATTCGCTGGATGAGAAACCTGGGCACCCTGTCGTTGGACGCTTTGTTCCACAGTGTGCTGCTGATGGCAGTTATGAGGAAGTACAGTGTTATGGTTCTACAGGATATTGCTGGTGTGTGGATTCCGAGGGTAGCCCTGTTCTTGGAACCATGGTTCGTGGGTTGCCACATTGTAACAAGTCAGCACGTGGAGGTATTTTATTGTAACCTTTCCCAAGAGTGCTAAAAAAGAATGTCAATAGCAAATTCCAAAGTTATAACTTTTTAAAAATGAAATAAATTTTAGAAAGGTTGAATGTAAACTTTAAAAATTGTAATGTCTTGTTACTCCTCTCTTTTTTCGATAGTCTGTGGAGGCAAGCCTATGTTCACCTGTCTGCGCAATTTCTGTGAGTGGTCCAGCTGCCCTGCCCATCCTGATGCAAAATGCAGAGTTAACCCATGTGGGGGATGCAAAGTAGAGTTTGTCGATAAGGATGGCAATGTGGTTAACTGTGAAAAAGGTAATATTAATTTATGTGAAGATTATGTTGCGACAAAATTTCTTTCTCATCTCCTAGGACTGGTGGAATTAACCAACAGGCTAGTGTATATATAGATTTAGTCAAGGAAAAAAGCAAAGCTGTCATGGTATCTTACTTTCTGATGCAAAGTTTTCTGAGCCTGCAATCACTTGAATACCATAACTGGTCAGCAGTGAACTTTAAAAAAAAACAATCCACCTCAATGAGTTGTACACCTGAGCCTGTGGTAAAGTCATGTGACACTGGTCAGCAGATGCCCTATTTTGACAGCTGTCAGTTGATCATAGCATTGATTTTTATTATTTGTTTATGCCTTGGACTTAAAACTATTAAGTAAGACATTTCACATCTGCTAACCAGAAGGGGCGGTCATATAGATGGATGATTTTTGTCAGAACCAAAATTTCTTGGATGTATCGATAACCAAATTTTTTTACCCATGGTGCTCTGCTGCACCTGCGATAGCTCCGCTATTAAATTTTTTTTGGCAGGTAAAAATCTGTTCTCGTGTTAAACCAGCTTTCAACCTTGTTTGACTCAGAGATACTTGCATGTTAAAAACTTTTAAATGTTGTCAAATTTAATTATTTTGTTCATGGTAACACAGTGTTAGTAAGTAAAATTAAGCTTACCAGCAGCCTCCAGTTTTAATTGTCGCAGTTGAAGGGATGTGTCAGGAATAACCCCCAAATAAAATATCTAATGTACTGCTATTAACGCATGTATTCTACGTTAATGTTATTTTATGTTATTGAAGATCTGACAAAGTGTCAGGTGGAGAATGCCAAAGCTTTAACATTGAGCAGAAGCCCTCAACTTCAACCCATTGGCAGGTTTGTGCCCAAGTGTGAGGCTGATGGTAGCTATTCACAGATTCAGTGCTGGTCTTCGACAGGATACTGTTGGTGTGTTGATAAGAATGGAGATGAGGTACCAGGAACAAGGGTGCGAGGAAGGCCAACCTGTTCTTCTGGACGGTCAAGTATGTATTGCAAACTGAGTTATTTTATTTCATAGATTCTCTATTTAACACCCTTCCCTGATCTCCAAGAAGCTTCAAGTTTTATGCAAAAGGCCACCCCTGTGAGTCTCTGTGAACATCTCCCCCACTCCCAACCCCCTTAAAATATCCAAAATGACCACAGCTATGAACATTTATCAAATCTAGGGGGCTGGCTGGCCACAGTGGAAGCCCCTGGGTATCCCAGGCACCCACCTTCCACTTAAGCGAGGCAGTTGGTTAATATATACTGCACAGATTGTACCATTATTTGTTAAAAGATAGCTTGCATTTCAGGAGAAAAAAATTTCCATCTTTGACTCTCGGTGAGTCCCACTCTCTTTAGCCACTGCTCTAGATAAAATTAATATGGATTCCCACCAGCACTCAAGCTAAGTGAATCAGTGACTAGTTTTAAAAGTCAACTTAGTGTTTACTTCTGGACATCTCCTTTACGACTAAGTGAATTATTTTTCGTGTTTTTAGCCTTCTCTCTGTGTGTGTGTTTTAAAATTAATTATTATTGTAGCATTGACTCTGAAAAGCCCTATGGGGATGAGCCAATGAAATATTTATGTTTATGTATAAATTGATGGCTTGATTTTCGTGAAACCACTTTTCTATCCCATGGTAAATGTATGTGAGACTAAGGAATTAAATTTTGGAGCTTTTGTGCTCCAATCAATAAGTTATTATTGTTTCTGTCCTGTTTTAGGCTAAAATCACTACTTCTATTATTTATTTGTTATTTACTTTGAATAGTATTAATCATTTTATTAACTTTCTACAGAGCGATCAGTTCCCATCAAGGATGGCTTCTGTCCAATCATCAAGGAACCAAGAACATCCTGTCCAAGCTCAAAATGTAGTGCTGACGATGATTGTTCTGGCATGCTGAAATGTTGCGATGTTCCAGGATGTGGTAAAACCTGCCAGGAACCTTCTTTCTCAAGTAGGTTTTTTCGTAGATTTCTGACTGATATTATTGTGCAACTTCTAGTTTAGCTTATGACAACAGATTTCCTCCCTTTGCATTTAAATTACTATGTTATTTAGTTGCTCCACTAAATTTCCATCCCTCAGTGTGAAGTGTGGTTGTCGCTCACAGGGTTGCCATGGATACCTACATGTAGTGCTCAACTTGATCTAACAGGACTCAATAGCCACCTTTAAGGCACCCTCCCCTAACCTTCTCTAGTGGTAATTACTTTAATTGGATTTGACTTAATTATTTATTTGCCAGTGAAGATCAGTTTTTGTGCCCTACATGTACTAACAAAGTGACTGGACCTTTACTTGTTTGAAGCTGATGAACATGTTAATTGTATGAATGTTTTCAGCCTGTATCAATGGAACAAAACCATTCTTGTTGTGTCTGCACATGTGTCAGTTTGCTCGTTGTCCAGCTGACCCACAAGCCACCTGCTTCTCAGATCCATGCAGAATGTGCAAAGTGGAGTTCCGTGATGAGCAAGGAAATGTAGTCAACTGCACCAAAGGTTTGCTAAACTCTGTGTCAGAAGCTGAAAATTAAAATAGTAATAATCATAAACTTGTATTATTGGGCACCAAAAATGTTTGGGTGCTGTTAGTTGTGGAACTTAAGTTGATTTATCCTTTTGTTGAAAGCATTGCATGTAATGAATGGTTATTCCTAAAAAATGAACCATTTGGTGGGTTAATAATAATTTGTTAGAGCACAGAATGGGCTTTTAGTGTGTACCTTTGTGGGTATACATTTATGTACTGTGCTGGATCAACACCTCCATTTTATTGAATGACAGTAGTATTCATTGCATTATGCCTCCCAACCTTGTCCCTTTAAGCCCTAATATCTGCATCCAAATTCTCCAGACTGATCTCCATACATTTCCTTGAAAAATTAGTGGAGAGAATTTAATAAAAGATCAAAGCATTTTCGCCTTGATGCTTATTTTGTTAATTCATACAACTTTTCTCTTGATTTTGTGGTTGATGTCGTCAGGAGAAAGTTCATGTTGGTCAGTCTTTGGCCTTTTAAGGGTTATTTTGTGGATGCGGCGTGGCTAAGCAGTTAGAGGGCGGCGCCAAGTTCAAGCGCTGCTCTAACTGCTAGTTGCAGGCATTTTCCCCCCAGTAAATCCTGAGTTCAACTCCTTAGACATACCTGTCAAAGGCCAATCGGTTTGCTGCTTGTGAGTTGGGATTCCTATTTGTCATGATTATTTTTTAAATTTCCCTCTTTGTACTCCCATCAAAAGGTCTGACCCCATGTCAAGCTCGTCAGCAGTTATCAAAAGGCCTCCTTGGTGAGTTTGTTCCAAAGTGCAAGGCTGATGGCAGTTATGAACCTTTACAATCACATGAGGGATATTCCTGGTGCGTTGATGAAGATGGAAAGGAAATTAATGGAACAAGGATGCGTTTCAAGCAACCAATTTGTGGACCACAAGCTTTGAAGAGTAGTAAGCTTGTTTTGATGACCTTTAGTATTGTATGGATTTATACTTGAAGACTGTGGGCAAAATCCATTCAACCAAAGTTTCTTGTGTGAGGGAAGAAATTTTATTTTTTTATGTAGCCAGAGAGAAAAATCATATTTTCAAGCACACCATATCGGCCTGATTCAATCCTTCTGCCATGAATGCTAGCCTGTATTAAATGGCTTAAATTTATATAAGGACAGGTCTTTTATGGTAAGGCTAACAGAGATTGGCTTGTCTGTTTTTTTCTTTTAACATGCGAGCTGTAGAACTCTGATATTAACTGTTTTTTTTTTGTGCACTTTCAGATCTAACATTGTGTCAGCTACAGAGGCTCCAAAGTGGTAAATTAAATTAGAGTTTTCGTTTTATTTAACTGTACAGATTCATAATAATAAAATTGAGGCATCACACTACTTTCCAGCAAGCCTCTGTTTCTATGGTGTTTTCTATCATAATCTACAGTGAAATCTGGTTCTTGTCCAAAGCACCAGCCTCCAGCTTGTGTTATAACATGCAAAACTGATGAAGACTGTGAAGGCTCCAAAAAATGTTGCAGTAACGGTTTTAGTGCTTGGTGTGTGGAGCCAAGTAAGCTTTGACATCCACCTTTTTACTCATACATGAAAATTGTTGATAAAAATTTAAAGCATATGTACTTGTATTAGCACCAGTGAATGGCCTGCCTCTCTTTTGAAACGTTATTAAAACAGAATCCATCAGCAAATTGAGTAACTTTAATTTCAGTGGACAAAAACCTTGTACCAGAATAATTTAAACAAATTGCATTCTTTTTTACATTTTTCAAGGGGTTACAGATAACTAGTTATGTCTATAACCCTAATTTAAAAGATGTTGTAATATTGTTTAAATTATTCTGCTACAAGGGTTTTGTCCAATAAAAATTGAAATTACTCAATTTCCTGATGGATTCCATCTTAAAAATGCACATAAAAGCTACCAGTTCACGATCAGTCTGTTGTTTGCTATGGGACACCTCTTTAGGCTGTACACCTGGTGTTGGTCCCTTTCTCTGCTGTTTTTTCAGTTGCTTAAGGGGTGGGGAAACTTCACAGCAGCTACGTTCAATTCAAGCACAGTGGAGTAAAATGCATGATCATTAAACTTTGAGTATACTGATCAGTCTTCTTTGGAGCTGTTACTCATTTGCTTACTCTTACTACCCAGTTACTTTTGTGTTTACTGTTGTCAGATCTTGAAATTTTTTAACTCATATTTCAGGTACACCAATGCCTGGTCGGTATATTCCACAGTGCAAGGAAGATGGAAGTTTTGAGGAAGTGCAGTGTCATCCCTCCACAGGATATTGTTGGTGTGTTGATACTGAAGGCTGGGAGATTGAAGGAACAAAGATCAGAGGAATGCCAAGCTGCAAGAAAAGTACTGAATATGTTTTGTTGAAGTTTATCTTCATGTATATTCATTTTGGGTGATTATGTCTGACACAGCACTGAATGGATATGTTAGAAGTATACAGCAGGTATACAGTGTGTTTTACAAATGAAGGTCAAATAATTATTTGCAACAAAACTGTTGCAAAAATCAACAGCGAAATGTAAATAAGATGATGGAATCTTAACAGCATCTGTAAAAAACTTCTAAAAAGCAAAAAAATACACTGGAGAGCAAAGTCAGAATAAATGGCCATGAATACTAAATGACAATGTTGAAATGATCAACTTATATGCAAAGCCATTACATCACCTTCATTGGTGATTTCACAAGATTAAGAATCTTGAGATTTAAAGGGTTTTCAATGATTATGCTATTCAGAGAACAGGATAGAGAATTAAAATTTGTGTTTTCATTCCATCAGCATGCCACCCAGTTATGTGCAGAATGTATTGTGAATATGGTTGGGCTAAAGGTCCGGATGGCTGCGACATCTGCAAGTGCGCTGACGCTCCAACCAAACCTGGTTTCTGTCCAGCTGTGGAATCAGGGCAGCTTGGAACTTGCGTCGAGGAATGCAGCAATGACAATGATTGCCATGGAAACAAGAAGTGTTGCTCTAATGGGTGTGGTCATGTATGCACTGCCCCAGAATACAAAGGTACCTACTTCTAATCTCATCTATTTAGTAAAGTTGTGAAGTAGGAAAAAAGAGGTGCTTTAATGAATTTCGTAAAAAAAAAACCAAATAGCAGTGACAATTTCCTAGTTTACGTAGTTTGTAGTGATTATGATCATACGTCTTGAAAGTAACCAGATGCCACCTTTTTTAGTCTTATCAAAATCAGTAAAATATTATAATTTTGCATTTTTAAGCCAAGCCAGGTTATTGCCCAGCAGTTGAAACCCATCATGTTGGTAAACCCAAAGTCATGTTGGTATCTGCAAAAGTGTTGTAGAAATGCAGTTCGGATCGTTCAGAAGGTAAATTGCAAAAATAAATAGAGGAGATCATGGTGGCGAGAAGAAGTTTTATGTTGTAGAAAATATCTGCAGTCGTGTTCTGTAGTACACCTGTTCAATGTTCTTTTTATTATATGGAGAAACCAATTCAACAAAAGCAAAAGGCGGGGAATCGTGTTGTCATTGAACGATAAACCCATCTAACAAAAAATAATAATGAATATTTCATTGTTTTTTATTTCTTCAATCTGAAAAATTAAAGCTCTTGAACATGACTGTCATGTCTGCTGTCCAACTTACACTTCTGTGTCTTTGATTTTTAAGCTTGTCCACGTGGTGCACCTTTGATGATGTGTCTGATTGATCCTTGTGAAACAGCCAGCTGCCCTGCCAACCCTAAAGCCAGATGTCGTCCAAACTATTGTGGCCAATGTTCAGCTCAGTTCTTTGATGACAACAACAACCTTGTCAATTGTTCTGCAAGTAAGTTTTAATACAAAAGGTAGAGTATCCATTGGTCATTCTTGTTCCTAGAGCTGCGATCCTTTTGATCCTTTTGGTTTTGGCAACTAGAGCAATCTGTTTTTTGTTCATAGTCACCCGCTCTCCGTAACCTTTGCCTATTACGTGGTTCTAAAATGTGAGTTATCAACAAATTTTCACAGGTGTGACCCCATGTCAGAAGGAATATTTGGAAGCGACAGGTGGTCCCCCTGGAATGGTTGGTCAGTTTATTCCCCACTGTCATAGAGATGGTTCCTACTCTCCTTTGCAGTGCCATGCCTCCACTGGCTTCTGTTGGTGCTCAACCACAGATGGCAAGAAAATTCCAAATACTAAAATCAGGGGCCAGCCCAGCTGTAAGTTTGAGCTGCAAACCTTTATCTTGAGTAACGGGGTGCTGTATGAGTTGTCAAAGACAGTGAAAAAAGAATTACCGTATTTACTCAAATAATTGCCATGGCTCATATTAAAATATTAAATTTTTCATGCCTCAAATGTGGTGCTTACTCAAGCTAGGATACCACTTATTTGATGGTGGCGTTTATTTGAAAGTTGAATGTGACAAAGAATTGTATTAACTACCAATGGTATTTCTTTCCATATTAAACTAACGGAATTAACGGAGGTAGTGCTTATTAACTATTTTCTCCCACATGCAGTGCTTAATTGGGGGTAGAACTAATTTGAGTAAATACAGTATTTCAAGATCAGGAAGTCTTACTTGAAAGGCAGACTTTCTGAAAGTTATTGAATTTCCTTTCGAGATGTTACAGGTTATAAATTACTACAAATTAAAGATTTGAATTTTCACTTTGAGAACATTCTCTAGTCTGTATCTTTTGAAATATAGAAAAAGCTTAGTTGGTATAAAAATATCTTGGGTTACATTTGCATTTTTATGATTATATTTCTTCTTAATTTAAAGGTTCACGATGCAAACAGCAGGCCTATGAAGCAACCCATCCCCCTCGCATTGGAGCTTACATTCCTCAGTGTAATGACGACGGTAGTTATAAACATTTGCAGTGCTGGGGCTCCACTGGACAGTGCTGGTGTGTGACAGCAGATGGAACTGAGGTACCTGGGACCAGACGAAGAGGACAACCCAAATGCGACACTAATGAAGGTGTGTTGTTATTTTGGAACTCAAGGAGCGTAAAACTATGAGCACTGACCATGAGAGGGAGACTTTGAAAAAAGTAGTTGATTTGTTGAGCCAATTAAAAACTTTGCTCAAGCACAATTACATACAATTTTTTCACATTTCTTTGCCTTCCAGCTACAACTACCTTTTCTTAGCCATAAAACTACAGTTGTATGTACATGAAATCAGCATAAGACTTATAATTCCAGATATCTATCATGAATGTTACTTTTCCTAATATGACCTTACACAGGGAACATGAAAATGCACAGGATGTTAAGTATATGCTTGAAGAAGTTTGCCATGTACCCCTCCTGTGACATGCTGCCCTTACTAGAAGTCTGCTTTGGCACTTCCATTTCCATTTTTTGTTAATTCTCTCTCACCAAGAGAAGCTATGGCCAGAAATACATCTGAGTGCCGATTAGACCAGTTCTTACTGAAGATACGAGGGAGAAGTGCAAAAACATGCTAACCAATTGGCTGCATCATATCATTGCTTACCAGGATTATCATGTAGCGAATCTTATAAGACGTTTGAGAGCAGCAGTCTTAAATGTGGCCTGAAATAGTAAAATGATGACCCTTGTGTCACTTGGCCAAGCTCCTCGTTAGAAAGCAAACTGTAGGAAATTAATTCTAGTGTTATTTTTTAAAACTTTTTTTCATACTCTGTCTTTTAAGCTGTAGTCAGTGCCTTTAGTATTGAATCCACCTGTGACAATGGTAAGAAGTGGCAGTTATGCAAAGATGTTTGTAAGACGGCTACCTGCACTAAAAACCCTGATGCTAAGTGTGTGTCACCCATGGGAGGCTGTGGATCAGATGCATGTCAACCTAAATTCTATGACAGCTTGGGAAAGCAGGTGCAATGTGAGTATGAAGCTTTGTTTTGCACTTTATAATGATGAAGTTTAGTGGTTGATACAGACCTTGACTTTGGGGAGGGTGAAGGGGGGCTTATGATATATTGAGATAAGGTGGGGCCCATGCGTAAAAATTTTTCCTCAGCCCTGCGGTGGGGAAGGCCTTGACATTCTTCTTTGTTGCATCTTCTGTTGTATTTAAAAGGGGGGATGGGGCAGTATAGTCGTTATAAGAACCAGAGATATTAACTACAAGATAAAAATGAAAGGCAAACTGCAAGAGTGGAGACTAACAGTGATTTTGTTACAAATAGTTCTGGTGAGTCCTGGGACTCGTCTTGTGGAAAATCATGGATGCTAGTCCAGAACCGTTGAGTTCCAGTTCAAAAAACAATGACTCCTAAATTGAAAAAGCTTGGGCCTTCATTTAACCAGACAGTTAATCTGGAGACAGATACCAAAACTCTTTATAACAAATTGTAAAAAATTTAAAATTATTAAAATTTAGTCCTTCTATATATTTAAAGCACAAAAAAGACCAAAATAAATATAATCTTAAAACAAAGGCCACAGAAATCACATGAACACGATATTCTACCAAAAAATCTTCAAATCGATTGATAGTTCTTTGTGTCCTACAGGATGCATTTCATGAATTATTTTGTGTCTTTGGTGTTTTTTATGCATCAGGGATGCAGGACACAGAGGTAACAAAATCACTGCTCTAACAACGCTATTGTGGGATATTTAAGTGGACTGAATCCTAGGCTTTGCCACTGTGCTATCATTAGGGAGCAGCTGAGGTCATCCGTGCCATCATTATTACCTTGAAAGTGTTTTACTGATCTTGCATGTAATAGGACAATTGCATGATGTCGTCATTTTACTACAACTACCAGAATCCTTCAGTTTGATGTTTTCTTGTGCAAATTATGGCTATTGTTTTTTAAACCTCAGTGGAATTGACAAATTTAAATAACAAAGCAAAGACGAAATGAATTCTGGTTGTTGTAGTCAAACGTTGTCATCGTGAAAATGGCCTATTCTGTTTTCTGAGCCACATTTATTTGCTTTTTGATGGTTCCTTATACAAGGTCCCTGCCTAAAAAAAATGCAGTTAAATTTCTTTTCTTTGGCATGTCTCATGCAATGATAGTTAGATAACAAACTTGTATAGAGGTAGTTAAAGTCTGAGTAACAAATGTCAGTTTTTGCCTTACAGGTATGACAGAATGCCAGCAAAAGGCATATGAAGCTACACGGAAGAGGCTCATTGGTGCGTTCATTCCCAAGTGTAATGAGGATGGAACTTATGCACGAGTGCAGTGCTGGGGATCCACTGGATACTGCTGGTGTGCGTCAGAGGATGGGACAGAGTGGCCTGGAACTAGAGTTAGAGGACAACCCAAATGTGATGTCAATGATGGTACATGTTATTAATTATTTATTTATTTACTTAGGTTCACCAAATCTTGGCAGGGTCATCACCACAGTGCATGGCACCAATTACTGCGGGCCCATAACAGTTGCTCCACACCCCCCTCTCTAGCGGGGCTAGAAGACAAAGGAAACAGAGGTTAAAAAAAATTGAACCTGACATAAAATTCGACCCATTCGTTATCTATTTTATATGCTGTGAACTGTTTTTAGTGGGCGCCTTTATAAGACAAAAAGAAATGGGAAAAGTAATTGTGAGCGCTTTCTCTTTTTTCTGGGCTTACATTTTTTCTCTCGTTGTGTTGAACCAAAACCCTGGAACAGGCAAGGAATTTTCTAACATGATGTTTTTTTTCTTTTCTGTTTTGCAGGTCCAGAGCTATTGTAAGTAGAGTTTCATAATTTTGTGGCAACTTAAATGTGAAATTGCTACTCAGTGTAAGGTTTTCCTTCTCTGAAGCTCATCTGAGATCTGTTGCTTCCTTTAGAAGCGTCCATGTAGGACTCACATTCAACTACAGTTTTGACTTAGTCAGGAATGTCTCACAGGCATTTAGAGAGTGAGTATAGTTACCTACTCTGTGCAAATATAGAAAATCTCTAAATCAGTGTCCTCTATAAAAGAAAGGCTTCCTCTGCAATAAAAGAGAAATAATACAGGCCCAAGAACGTTTTCGCAAGGTTAACTATGCGGTAGGAGTCTTAATATGCAATAGTGTTCAATTAAAAAAAAGGAAAACACCTTTCTCAAAAAACAAGAAAAGAAAAAACCTGGGAAATCTGTGTGTGTCCATCAAGCCACAAATTAGGTCGCCAAGAAATTTTAAGACTGAGAGCTGATTTATTGCGTAATGACATACTAAATCAATACCACCAATACAAATTCCTCCCCGCTCAAAAACATGTATACTAAGTGCTTACAGAAATACACTGTAGGTCATGATACGCGCATTCTCAGCGTACTTTAGAAATCATGCACAGCTATCTAATAGCAAACACAAATCAATTTCTCCCACTGCTACTTGTATACTACCTCCCAGTGTAGCATTCGATCACTCAGAAATATGTTTTCTTCCTTCCACAGATCTTTGAAGAAGCAATTGATTACCATGTTTAAATTGAAGGACGATCAATTTCAGGGACCTGAGGTATGTCATTTTCAATCAATTAATCGAATTTTGTGATCTGAGAGCTAATCTCTTAGGATTAGTTTGACAGTAAGACCTACCGACACGTTTAAAACTGCTAAAAAGTTGCTGTCAAGTACCGCTTCGGCCTACGGCCGAAGACGTGTCGGCCTTCGGCCAACACCGAAAATTCCCGCCGCACGCGAGAAAAACCTCTGGTACCCAGGGTACTGTCAAGGGATCTATAAGCAGTTTTACTTCTTGTGTATGAGCTGTTATTTTCAGGTTTTACCTTACTCTATGAGCAGTCTCTCTTTTTTCTTAGTCCATCGAACGAACGCGCGAGAAACGAAAATGACCACGCGCGTGACCGTAGGTGGGTGGGAGACTGGAGAAACCTTAGTACCCGTGGCTTCGCTCCCCTCACTAAATCTGAAGAAAAAAAAGAGACTGCTCACAGTCTATTTTTACCCTAATGTTTAGAATCTTTGTCTGTCAGGTGCGAGAGGGCAGTATTTTAGTAGGATTCACTGTTGTACCGACGAGTGGTGGACGAGACCTGAACGAATTTGCAGATGACATCACTGCAAAGGTTAGGGCTGTTCAGCTACTGAGTATCTAGTCTTATAACAGGTGATGTAAGTAACTGCGACGATAGCCATAGATGCACGAAGGGTATAAAAAAATGATAAATGAAGCAGAATGCAAAACTGTTGTACATAATTAGAATTTGCGTGCATCTGCTGAGAGCACCAGGTTAAGAGAGGAAGGCACGAGCAATTCTTTATTGATTTGATTCATCATGCTATGATATCTTACTGTATGCTGTAAAGCAAGTCCAAGCAAAAAGGAACGACTTTCCTTTTTTGGACTTACGCTCTCTTAGTTACCATCTTGATATTGATTGTAACAATGAATAGAATTTTTAGTTCATACTGGAGTACAGTTCGGAGCGTTTTCTCTTCTATGTACTTTTTCCATACAGAGGAGAGCCTATTGAACATTCCAATTTAAAAAAATCTTAACTCCTTGAACTAAAGTTTGTCTCGACGTCGTCTTGAAGCCGGTCGACTCGCTTTCTGACTTTGTGCAAGCGCAGTATAATTTATCTCCTTTTTCGTTTGTGACGATGAACGTGGTTATCTATTCATGTTTGGTGCAAGAATATTGAGGCTACCGTTTTAAATGGCACTATCTGATGTCTCTCAACATTCACTCTAAAAATGTGAGGGATTTAAGTGGCTGTTTAACCAGGGATTAAATAATTTTGTTTCATTAGGCTCGCAACCACCAACTAGTGATTCACTTTAGTGGTTTGACGTTAGTGGCTGATCCTGAGGCCATGTTAGCGTCACCTATGTATCTTGAAGATCTAAGGATCGTCAATAAAGAACAACAACATGAGTCGGACAGCAGTGGATTATCAAAGACTGGTGTGGCACTCGTTGCTGTTGTTTGTACCCTAGCTGTAGTAGCCGTTGCATTAGTAGTATATGTGGTGAGTATACACTTACACTTCTTGGCGTGAAGGCGTCCTTGTGGGAATCTTGTTGTCTCAAATCGTCTTGGCTAAACAGCAAAATTTCTGGATCTTCTTGGCAGAGACGACCATTCGCTTTGTAGAGCGATGGAAGGCTAAGGGGGAAAAAAAGCGATGCGATGGCAAGGGTTGACGCAAGAGCTAATAACCAGTAACCCGGCATGCCTTCTCAAGCTGTGTCTAGCTATGATGAAATCTTTCTGTTATCTCCCTTACTACTTCACTCTTTGTAATTATGATATAGGATCGGGAAAGGGATGTCCTGATCCGGCGTTCCCGCTCCTTTCACGGGAATCCCGCATCCCGAACTTTTGTCATCGCCATCCTGGATGTCGTTTTCTTTCCAAATCCCGTATCTGTGCCCATTTAACGTTTCCCGTATCCCGCACTGTCTTTTGGTCAAATTCCGGGATCCTGGTAATACCCTGCATATTAGATGTCAATTTAATTGCTCTTTTTTTTAGTTGATTCAGAAAAAGCGAAAGAACTCCGGTGATGGGGAGAGAGTGAGTAAACATGTACTTTTTTAATCATTGTTGTTTGGGACGGTTGGGATGATCGAGATGATGCTGACTTTATTATGGTGACCAGTCTGTCATACAGAATAGTTCCATCTGGGTGATTGCAGTCACCCTAAGCGTCCGGATAATTCCATCATTGCTGTTTCCATATGATTGTCTTGATCACCGAAACACATTCTGTGATAGACTGCAGAACGGCTAGCCCAAGAAAACAGTCGACATTTCGCGACGTCACCACTGGTTTCCCCGCGAAATAACGTCCGAGAAACGAGCACAGAAGTTCCATACTGATGACGTGTCACTACCCAGATCCGGGTAGTGCTTCTGATTGGTCGCGCCGCGAGGGAAACTTGGTTCAACCAATCGACTACCCAGATCTGGGTAGTGACGCGTCATAGTATAGAATTTCTCCGCTAGTCGGTCCTCGGATCACAAAACAAACCGTATTTTTGCGTAGGCCAAGAACGCGCGAACCGTGAAACGAAAGGTCTGGAGCAAAGGCGACAACTGAGAGTAAAACTGTGACAGCTTTGAAAAAAAAAAGAAAATGGAAAAACAAGTTACTGTTCATCCTTTGCACAACAGCCCTCACCCTTCAGTGAAGATCGGAGAAGTAGCCCTTCTTCCTCTTGTCCGATTTTTTCTGAAGGGAGGGGACGGCTGTACTTAGGCTAGTTGCCCTTTTGCAGTCAAATTTTTGCGACGAACTGAGTCGTACTTGAGTTGAACGAGGGGATCCAGATGGTTAAATGAGAATCCGGGCTAAAAAAATAGAGTGATCTTCGTATGACCTTGAAATGAAAACGTACGAACAAAACAGAAACAACAAACGAACGGAAATAGAGCGATTTGATTGGTTTATCGAACGGATACAAACGCGCGTGGCATGTGATTGGTTAAGCGAACGCTCGGGTTAAAAAATAGTTCATGCACGAGAACTTTCTAGAAATCAAACTATACTTCGCTTGACGTCATACTGCAACACAACTGGCCAATCGAACAGTGCCTTCTCCATATTAGGGTTTTCTTTGGCGGGAAAACGAAGAGGCCATGTTTTGATATTTTCATCCATTGCCTGATAAAACACTGCATAGGAAGCTAGTTAATCGTACATTGTGTAGTTTTCTGAGTGACTAACTTGTCGCTCCTTTTCCCGTAGCTGTACCTTTTGTCTTAGACCAGAGGTGCTGCTGCCGCTCGCTGCTGCTACTGCTGCTGCTGTCTTCTCCTTATCATCCGCTACTCATCCTTCCCTCTAGGCCGGCATTGTTTTTAAAGATGGAAATGCTGAAGTGAACGTCACGCTCACGGAAGCCTGACAATGGACTCCACCCTTACCGGATGTGTCGTAATAATGATTTGATATTCAGTGATCTACCTTACATCGCTCTGCTTTCACTGCAACGCAGTGGAGTTCGTAGACTGGTTATGATTGCCGCTCTTTATCAAGTTCAAGAACTTACTGCAAAACTAGGATTGATCACAGCCTCCCTTTATAATGGGATGGCTTATTAAACCATGAGAATATAATTTATCTGTTAGAGACTTTTTAAAGAGAATTTTTATAAAATATTGAGAATTATTTGGTCTAGCCAGATCGATATATTTTTTTTAGAGAATTTGAATAATGATATTTTTATGATGTTGTTTGTTGTACTTATTGTTTCTTGGAGGGGCCAGAAAGAAAGAGGCTTCAACTTTCTTTAGCCTACGAGCAAGCTCTCCTTTTGGGTGAGTCGCCAGAAGTCACGCGAGAGCCGCACGCGAGAGGAGATGCGAGTGCGAGAGGTCCACTCGCTCGGGCGTTCTCTCGCGGCTTTCTTCGCTTGCCACTCGAAATAGAGAGCTTGCTCGCGCGTAGGCTAACTTTCTTCGATTTAGTAGGCAGCGTAGCCGAGTGGTCAGTGCGTCGGACTCGCAATGAAGCAGTCCCGGGTTCGAGTTCCGCTCTGTCCTCGGCCACACTTGTAACCTTTCCCAAACCGACCACTTAGGCCTGTTTTTTAAGATTAGCCTGTCGTCGGTTTCAATGCAGCCGTCGTCTTGAGCCGTTTCGAAAAGCCGAACCCCTCATTTTCAAACACTGGTCCGTCCATGGTCTCCCACTCATCTTTTAGTGCAACTACCGGGTACAATTTTGGACAAACCTGTCTAAAGGTGGACTGAACCTATTTAATAGTGTATTGGTAACCGAGTTTTTCAACAGGAAAGATTAAAGTGATTTGTATCATTTTCGACCCTCTGAAGAATGTTGATCTTTAAGAAAATGTTATCGCTCGTATAAAAACATTTGATATATCGGCATACATTTCAAGCCTCATTTTTGCAAAAAAATGTAAATAACTTCGAAATCCTACGAAAAATCGAAACGCGCCAAACAAATCTTAACAAGGCAAAATAGAGCATCTACGAAAACTCTCAAGAGTTTTAACGTCGCAGGTCCCCGTTCTGACGAGAAATAAAGCCGCTAATTCCAGTTGACTTCTAACCACTCATTTTCAGTTGCAATGAAAACCGTTGTGCTTGGTTAATTATTCAAGCTCTTTGGAATGGCCATCACAGTCGCACGCAAGTTTGCCACTTGAGAAGAATGAGGAGAAAAATATGAAAGTGGCAAACGGTCCGTGCGAATGTGATAGCCATTCAAAAGAGCTTGAATAAATTACCAAGCACAAAGCGTTTCATCTCAGCTGGAAAGTGGATGGTAGAAGTACTGGAATTGGTGCTATAATTTTTTCTCAAAGCGGGAACCTACGGTCCTTAAAATTGGTAAGAAATTTCCGTAGATGTTATATATTGCTATGTTCGGACTTGTTTTAAAAAGAGGGGGGCGAATAACACGCAGCGTGAAGTTGCTGAAGTTGTTAGCACCAATGTATTGGCCTCAGGTTTCTGATTACTCGGTTTCGCTTTCTTAAAGCTTCACGTAAGAAAACCCGCTCAGATAGGAGATAGTCTGTCAGCACTCTTCTCTTCCACAATTTGTGCGTCAACTTTCACGTTAACATAGCATTTTATGGTTAAATGTCACCAACAGTTTGTTCAGCCCGTTTTATGGTCATTATTTGGCTTCGTACCTACAGGTTCAAATCTATTGTAGACAGCTCTGAGGCTTGCTTGCAGAAGTCAGGGAAATGTATGTGGAAGTTATTTACACTTTTTGTCAAAATGAGGTTACTTATATATGCCGATATCTTAGACGTTTTTATACCTACAAGAAAATCAATAGCATATTGTTCAAGTGACACCATTCTTCATTCATTAATCATAGAAATCGATTAAATCGTGCGTGCTGAAAAGCGCCATTCAAAAAGGTTATCAACACTGTTCACCTTGGAATAAAAATCGTAATCTAATTTACCTGGTCACTGCTCCGCAATATCACTTAACATTATTTCTTTTCTGTTTACCATGCATGCATGTTTACCATGCACAAAATACAAGAATTTTCAAATTTTCAACCAACATGGCAGGCGCCCAGACCATTTTACGAAGATTTATCCTTAAGAAAAATTTAAGATAACCTCAAGCCAAAGTCGAAACCTTTTGTCAGTATTCCAAGTGGCCCTGTCACCGTCCCAAAACACCACCAAACAGCGTTTTTTAACCTCAAGAAAATCAAAATGATTTTTTCATAGAAGTTCCAAATTATTTTTGACCGATTTGGGTTAATCTAAGACGCCAGCAACGATCTTGAAAAAAAAAACTATCGAGAAAATAACTTTTTTCGTCCAGGCAGTCAACATAAGCAGTTGTGACCCCAAGGACGTTTTAGTGTATTCTTGGTACAAAGGTGACAAGTTTTTCCTTGCAAAAAAAACTTGTCAAGTTTCCTCGTTTAAACAGTCAGCACCCTTACGAGAGAAAATACGTTGAACGGTGTGAGACAAGCAAAAGTTTAATCCAGTTTATTTTTAATTCACAAGAGTTGAAAGCGAGGTTCTACAGCTCAAAGGTAAAGTCCTTCAGGCGTGCCTTCATTTTTTCTGTACAAAACGTTTTCCTTGGACTTTCGGAAATCTTCATTGGTGACTTTCATCCTTCTTTCACGCAGTGCCATTAGACCTGCCTCAGTACAGATAGCCTAAAATGGTAAAAAAAAGATGGTTACTTCCACCATGTCTATTTAAGAGAATGACAAGTAAAACAATGTTATTTAATCCTTAATAACAACGAGAAAGAAAAAAGTCCAGTTTTGTTTTCAAGCGCTAACCTGATTAATTTCTAGGTTCTTTTTCATTTACCCAGAAATTCAGAGGAACATCACATTAAGCAAAAGACATTGGGAGGTGGTAGAAGGGTAGCCCATGTGCAGAACCCCCCTCCCCAGAGGAAAAATCGGATTTTTCCGATTTTTCCTGAGGGAAGAGCGGGGGAAGTCTATACACGGGCTAGTAGAAAGGGAAACTAGGGAGTGGGGGATGATGGGGTGGAAAGGGTGGGAGGTGCGAGTTCTAAAACGGCGGAAAGTGGGAGAAATAGGGAGAAAATATGCAACACTGTTTAATATTTCACAATCAAAGTAGGGGAGGATGCCAAGAAGAAAAGAGGCAGGAGCCAGGAATGCTAAGTATGGGAGGCAAAAGGTTTGGACCCCAAGATAGCAAAGCCAAGCTAGGAGCCCATAAGTAGGGTAATGAGCTCCTGGCTTGGCTTATAATAAAAAACAGAGCATCCAAATGGCACATGGGGCTAATGGGGGGTCACGGCAGCCACAAATCTCACCAGTGACTCAGGCATTGTTAAACCAAGGTCTGGTTTTTATGATTTGGTTGGCTTACCTTTATGTCTGCACCTGATAGGTCATCTTTAGCCATGACGTACTCTTCAAGATTGACATCTTCAGACAGTGTCATCCGGCCGGTGTGAATTGTGAATATGCGTCGCTTTGTTTTTTCATCAGGAAGTGGGAATTCAATCTTCCTGTCAATGCGCCCTTAAGGGTAGTGAAAAGCAAAAGTAAACTATGATCAAATACCAGTATTACAAACTCCTTTATAACTAACACCTCAGTATCTGACACCCCTTTTATTGGAAATTCACTGTTTGACTTATGTACTTGGATGTTTCAGTTTATTGCTGTACTATCACTAGGTTACATTTTAATTTTATTTTTGGGCCCTTGGGGAAAACCTAAGATTTTCTGTTTGAAAAAAAAAAAGCAAAAGTAAGTTGACAGGGACCATTAGCAGGGCTCTGCTAGAGAATGGCCAGTGGGGTTCCACACATATCTTCCGGAATAACAAATGCATCACACAGATCCAAATTGTTAATATTTTCTCTTCATCATAAACTATTCTAAGCTGTGCCAAAAATGTTATTTCAATATTAAGACATACAAAAATAAATTATTTTTAAAGGTAAAGACAGTCTACCAATTCTGTTTGCCATGATAACCTGAGTGACATGGGTTAGTCTAACAGTCTCAAATTCTGTTTGCATTTAGTAAGTTGAATGATGCCTATCTAAATCATACAACACATGAAACATTAGTTACAAAACTCAATGAAAATTACAGCACTGCATTCATGCCTATCCTAAAGGTGGTTCCTTCACAGAGGTATAAGGTTTCCAGAACAATTCACAGGATTGGTTGAGAAAATAATAGGGCAAAATTTAAAATCAATACAATCCTGAAAACATTTACAAAAGCCAATAAAGTTAGAAACTTTGTGGCTTCATTTTAAACACATCTGGCATCTTAAAAAGTTGCCACTGTAAGTTAATGCCACTGCAAGATAACAAGTACCTTGACGTCACCCTTGGAGTCAAATCCATCTAACTGGTTAAGAAGTTCCAACATGGTGCGCTGAATTTCCCTCTCACCTCCTGAATTGGACTCATACCTGAAAAACAATTTATTGGTTAATCAGGGTTAGCCATAAAGCATTTTAAGTTAAGATGGTTTAAGAGCTCTGGATTTTCTCTTCACAGGATTTGAAGAAAAAACATCCCGTAGCAAAACAAAACAACTAAAGATTATTCTTCGCTTTTCATGTTACCTTTTTGTTCCAACGGCATCAATTTCATCAATGAAAACTATCGATGGTGCATGCTCTTCTGCTACTCTAAACATTTCCCTGACCAACTTTGGACCATCGCCCTAAAAACATGAAAACATTGACACACATTAGATCTACTGTTCATAGTGAAGATCATCTGCAGACAAGACCTTACTACTGCGAGTACATTCAAGGCAATTCACATAGCCTATGTCAGACATAGCGAGTGATTTATTTGGGGCTTCAAATCTGTGGGATAAGGCTTGGCCAGGATAGTTTTCTTAATGAAGAATCATTGCTTTGAAATGTCTCTCTTCATCAGCTGACATACTGTACCCTTCTAGCCTGGAACAGAACATAAGCTACACAAAGTCATCAATACATTCAGGGGCCATAAACAACATAATTTATTACTTTTCTTACCAAATATTTTTGTATCAATTCTGATCCAACAACACGAAGAAATGTTGCAGCTGTTTGGTTTGCAACTGCTTTCGCTAACAGAGTTTTTCCTACAAAAAGTCACAGAATATCCATTAACAAGCATCTACACAGGTGTAGTTACTGAGGATTTTTGTACCTTTCTGATGTTCCAGCGTGCAAAGAAAGTAGTGTCCGACAGCCCAGGATTTTGCTATCCTAGTGAAAAACTTGCCCTACACAGGTTTAGTCACTAACAGAAGAAAATTTTCAGCTGAATCGTTTTTTTAGTAAATGCTAGTTCAGCTTGCCCAAATGTTAATTTTTTTTGCTTCAAGTTCCTTTTTTTGTTCAAGTTTTGGTTAATTAGTCCTCAATATATTTGCATACTGTTGTTTTTACACATGTATGGCTGTGGAGTTCTAGACGGGTTTCTTTTCCTCTGTCCATCACCTACCAAGTGTTTTGTCTCTTTAGTCTCAATCACCTTGATGCAACTTATGCACTTGATTCGTTGTTTTGCTGATCACATCTTTGCTTCACCATGTCATTCAAATGATTCTTACTCATCTCACTGACACTAAAATAATGCAGTTAGAATGGAGGTGTGATTGGGTCACTCACCTGTACCGGGCGGACCGTACAGAATCACTCCTTTAGGAGGCTTTATTCCCATCTCTTCGTACAATTCTGGGTGTGTTAGAGGAAGTTCAACAGATTCCTAAGAAGCAACAGAGTAATGGGATTATAATTGAACCCAATGCCTCATTTGCGTGCACTCAAGGATGTACTCCTTCTTTTGTTTCAGTTCAACAGAGCTAATATTTTTTATGATGACAACCAGCGCAATTTGGAGCAGTTTGTATTAAGAGCCAAGGTGGACACTTAAGTCAGTACTTGGGTCAGTTTTCCACTTTTGTAAATGTAAAATTACATCAACTGGTTAATTATCTCCACTACTGTGGAAATACATAATTTTTAAGAAACAGTCATATAACTAAGTGCCAACGAGAAAAGATTTTACCTATACCCGTATGATGCTAATGAATCCAGCCGACGATTGGTTGAGGATGGTTGGGATATGGGATGAGCATGGGATTCTCTGTTCTGTACCACAAGTTCAATTGAAAACAATGCATTATCTGTTGTGCATTACGTCATAAATGTAACATTACATTACTACATGTTACATCTATTCGAGATTCATTCTGCCTTGGAACTTTCGCGCATGGCTTTATTACACTGCCGCCATGTTCGCAAGGCTGCTCGTTGGCAATTATTAAGGTATACCTTGATTTCTTGAATCTGTTGGTCCAGTCCCCCAATGTCAGCATATGATTCTTGAGGAGCCTTTTCAAGTTTCATAACAGTCACCATGGGATCTGTGTCATCAGACAGGACACCAACTACTGCATGCACCTGACAACACATGCACAGAACAACTTTATTTTTTTAACATAGAGTTAGCTTTAAAGACACCTCCATCTCTGGACCAAAGGGAGAATAAGTCCAAGCCATTCTTCTGTATCATTACTCTCCTTGTGACTTTATGCACCAAAACCGATACAAATCAGACAAAATAGAATTTGGGAAAGTGGTGTTTGACTTGCCATAGCTAAACTTGAACATAATAAAAGTGTGCTGAATGTTGTTATTGTAATAATTATTGTGGCCAACCTGTCAGTCCTACCTATCTTCTACTGTAGTTTATTGTCTCAGTATTACCTGTCTTAAGGTAACCATGACTGTCCATAGAGTGGACACCTCTTGTAAGACAGGCAGTGCCAGTAACACACAACAGTGTCAATCTTAGCAAATTAAATCTGGCTGCAGCAACAGTAGCTACATTTATGGTGTGGTTGTGCTCTTATAACAATCTCAAAATGCATTCAAAGGTTAATTTCATCTAAAAGAAAACAAAAACTTGATTGTTTGTCAACAAACCTTGTGATTAAGTAGTACAGTGCAGCCAGGCTCAAGCATATCTTTGTCAACAAATGATAAGATGCTGACATAATGTTCTGAGCCAACAGAGGTAGACACAATGGCATGATTATCATCAATTATCTCTTCTAAAGTTCCCACTGACATTGGGGTGCCTCTCAAGTCATCAACCTTTGACCTCTCCTCCTGCAATCAAATGCATACAGCAAACTTACATTAAGAATTTTTGCGGCATACACCCTAACTTACATGCAATCCAGCTTTTAGACTGTGGGAATGAGTTGACACATACATACACAAACTTGTTCCAAAACCCTTCAGATACAATAACATACAGCCACTGTCTCTTAGAAGCTTAAAACTTTAAGCTACCATATAGCATCTCTTTGGCTTTCCTACACGTTTTTACCATAATTGATGAAAAACACTTCTTACAGCTGTCTAAGCAAAATGCTTAACTCATACCTCATTCTTCTCCTCCTGGGGTTTGAGTCTTTCTTGATTTTGGATAAATTCTTCTTCCAGCAAAAGATAATCTTTTATTCTTTCCAACTTTAGCAGCTTTAACCTACAATTCCTGTGTGGTGTTACTAAACAGGTACAGAAGACTGGTTAATAAAGTCAAACCTTTTTTACTGGCAATCTCTCTACAACAGTATCCTCTCCAAGATGGCCACTAGTTTGTCTTATTGGATAGTTTTCTCAAAATGATTCTACACACTATGCAGACACCCATTAATATGGACAACGGACACTTATTTCATGCCCAATCAACAGATTCTCATAGAAAGACAACCTTGCTAATGCAGACACTTCATTGTCAACTGAACATTTGTGGATGTCAATTTTTGGTATCAAACAAGTTATGCAGCTAAATGAGTGATCTTTGAGTGTTTCCATGCATTTAAGCCACGGAATGACGGCTTTGTGAAGACTAGAAATGTTCAATTTGACGATACTAGTGCCCTCTTTTATTTCTTTAGTTTTTTGGAGTTTTTTCACCTAAATAATATGAAATGCTTAATAAGGACACCCTGTTATTAATACAGACACTTTCTAAGGTCCCTTCAGTGCCTGTATTGATCAGGTTTGAATAGGATTTCATTTAATTTCAGACTCAAAAGGAAGATCTACAAAACACAGTCTCAATAATGATAATATTGATCTATGAGTAATGATTAGCTAGGAGTTAAGAGACAGTAAACAGTTCTTCTTTCCTCACCTTGAGGTAACTTGTTAGCAGCATCAGGACCTTTAGCTTTTTTCTGCTTCTTTCCTACTCTGGTTGGGATTGGGGGTTCATACTTTTTTTTCTTGTCCTAAACAATGATAGATTTTAACCCTTAAGACAGTCATATAAATCTCATCATACAGAAGACAGTATTATCAATTATTTCAATGTCATGTTTATATTAGGTATAATAACAGGAATCTCTTGCACATAAATATGGGTACATGGATGAAAAATAAATTTAACTCAGTACATTATTAAGTTATTCCTTTATTTACCAAAAGACTTGGAACTTTATACCAGGTGACGTTTGAATTGCCAAGAGCTTAACCTGTCCACAGTTTTCTTTGTCACTCAGTTGAATAACACATAAATACATACATACACACACTGTTTACAGGTCATCATTACGACACCTGAAGAAGGATCATGAGGTTATCCCCATACTAAGATCTCTCCTTACAGATAACCCACCCAGCCCAGGAAAGGTTGGCCACACCACAGCGGTTGGTGTCCCTTACTCTTTTTGAAAAGTCAGGTGGGTTCTTTTACATCCCACAAGAACCAGACGAGTAAAAGTGCTGTAAGATAGGGCCTACCGTTTTTCGTCCTTATCCGAGAAGACTAGAATGTCTAACTGTTTTCAGATGTCAATACAAAGACAGCACTTTCTCCTCAGTTATTTAAAGACCCTGAGTGTTGGTCTGGCCGGGGTTTGAACCTGCAACCTCCCACTCAGCAGACCGGCACTCTCCCAACTGAGCTAACCAGGTGGCAGCAGCTAAGGCAGATATATGCTTCTGGTGCAGCCTATAGATGTTCTTAACAGAATTGTCTGACTGGCAATTTGTTACCTTGTCTCCCTTTTTATCTCCTCCTGGTCCTCCACTTCCAGATTGATTCTGACCCTGTTACGAATTCAAAGTTTTAAAAGACTGCTCTTTGATGTTCACAAATTAATCTAATACTAGAATGAATCCAAACAATCTGACCAGCCTGGCTTTGTTCTGACAGTGCTAATAGTTAGTTCACTTCACCATGCCTAAATATTGCCTTCAGCAAAGAAGGGAAATTAAAACAACGTTGATTTAGTCACGATCAATTTTAAAATGAGACTAAAATAAAGTGTGTAGCATCAAAACGAAAAAGTATTCACGTCACAAACAAAGACAAAGATTGCTAGAACTGCTCGTCAAGTTTTGACGGAACACAAAGTCTGCTGCGAGTCGAATTCGTTTTTTTTTATGGACATCGCACATCGTTAACTAGCCTCATCCAAAACTCACGATGAAGATCACCTAAAAAGGTGACTGTTATGCTTTAAGGACAAGAAGAAAAGAGAAGGCTTAAGGAAAGTTTATCAAAAAAACACGACATTCACTCACCATTTTGTGCAGTCCTGGTATAAAAATATCGCAGGCTTCTACAACACTTAAAGTCATGCGCAAGATTGCGCTGAGTCACCAGAGCCACGATTCTTTTGACCAGCGTCAGAAGGAGGAAGTAATAGAATGGAAGAATGTTAATAAATAACCCCCATCCCCGCGACCAAATGTAAGTCTGAGATGTGTTTTGTTTTCTGTAACCGTTTATTCAATTTTACTTAGCATTTCTAGCCCTTATTACCAGAGGCC